CAAGCCAACATCATCGAGGCCAACAACAATTATCTGACCGACGCGTGGCTGACCTATGACCGTCGTTTCCGTGCTGGTCTTGCTGCCATGCCGCACCTGTATTCCTGGCGGCAACTGGACCCTAACCTCTGGCAGTCCTGCTTCACGAGCCGCGGGCGCCCTATCTGCTCGCGTTGTTCTCTCGTGCACCCATCTCCAGCCCTGCATTGCCCCTTTCGTGGAGGGCTCCCTCTTGCGCAGCACGCAGGCGGGAGCCAGTCAGCCACCAGCCCAGCTCCTCGTCACGATGGCCGCCAGATCTGCCGGAATTACAACAACGGCGCCTGCACATACCCGTCCTGCATACGGGCCCATGTCTGTCTGTCATGCCGCGGCAAACACCCAAAGAAGACTTGCACCCGAGCGGCCTCTCAGTCTTCCCAGTGACGTCGTCACTCCAGTCAACGTGCCTCGGCTAACTGCACTGCTAGCTGCTCACCCTGATGCCCTGTTTCGTGTGATTATGTATGTGCTGGCATGTTTAACGGCTTCTCGATTGGTCACACCACTCCTCTGGTATCATGCATTCAATCTGTCAATCATCCGTCTAGTCTCTGCAATAAACAATTTGTCACCCTGTACCTACAGTCTTGTTGCGATGCTGGGGAAACAGCTGGTCCGTTTGCTGAGCCGCCATATCAGCTGTTTCAAACCTCGGGTTTGGGCCTGATCCCAAAATCCAATGGCAAATTTCGCCTCATCCATGACCTATCCTCCCCCACTGGCCGCAGTGTCAATGATGGTATTTCCCGGGAGTCATTCAGCTTGGAGTATGACACTGTCGATTCGGCTATCTCCTATATCATGAAGTTCGGCCGTGGTTGCTACCTGACCAAAGTGGACATTCGAAACGCCTTCCGATTATGCCCTGTTGCCCCCTCTGACTGGCACTTGTTGGGTATCTCTTGGGATGGTCGTTACTATTTCGAAAAAGTCCTCCCGTTCGGCCTTCGGTCAGCTCCGTACATATTTGACAAGTTTGCATCTGCCCTTCATTGGGTTCTGGAGGACACATGCCGCCTTCCCCATCTCATTCATTATCTGGATGACTTCCTGAATGTATCGCCTCCCAGTCTTCCTCTTGCCCAGCACCAGAAGTCACTACTGCTCGACCTGTTTGCATATTTACAGGTCCCAGTTGCACCTGAGAAGGTTGACGGCCCCTCTACGGTTCTCACCTTCCTGGGCTTAGAGCTGGACACAATGGCTCTGGAGATCCGCCTTCCACCCTCAAAGCTGACTAAGCTATCTACCACCGTGTCGGCCCTCGTCCAATCCGGCCGGGTTCAGAAACGCGACCTCGCCTCCGTATTGGGCAAACTCTCGTTCGCGTCCAGAGCTGTACCAGCTGGTCGCACATTCCTGAGACGCCTGTACGACCTGGACGGAGCAACTCGATCAACACCATTGCACCAATGGCTACGCATTTCGGCATCGGCAATGGCAGACCTGTTGTGGTGGGCAGAGGCCCTGACCATATGGAATGGGAAGTCATTCTTCCTGGTGGATGAGTGGACGCCAGCCCCCGACATGCAACTACAGACTGATGCCAGCGGCACTCACGGTTATGGTGCCTTCTACAACGGCCGGTGGCTGAGAGGAGACTGGACAGCCCAGAACGAGAACGAGAACATTGAGTTCAAAGAAATGTATGCTATCATAGTTGCCTGCGCGACCTGGGGTTCGGAGTGGAGCAGGCGACGCATTCAGTTTCAGTGTGACAACAAGGCCGTGGTGGACTGTATACGCTCTGGTACCTGCCGTTCACCGCCAATCATGACACTTATCCGGGCATTGTATCTGCTGTGTATTGAGCATGACTTCTTGGTGTCAGCTGTCCACATTCCTGGTGTCACTAACACTGTCGCCGATGCATTGTCTCGCAATTTGCTGCAGGTATTCAGGCACCAGGCCCCGGAAGCAGCAGCCGAGCCAGATCAGCCAGTCTTGCCAACTCTCCGTTGACAGACTCCGTGCTACAGCTAGCAGCACTGGCAATAGCACCATCCTCCCGCCGGACGTATTCTACCGCCGAGACCCGCTACTTCCAGTTCTGCCAAGTGCATGCCTGCAACCCATTGCCGGGCGACGACTTTACTTTGTGCTATTTTGCTGCCGAGTTGTTCAGGACTCTTCAGCCTCGATCTGTCCGTGTCTACATGTCGGCAATCCGCAACCTTCATGTGGAACTTGGCTTTGCTTACCCGTCGGGCCCAACAACTCTCCTCGCTAGGGTCCTGCGGGGCATCGACAGGTCGTCATCGACACAGCGTCATCGTCTGCCGATAACCACTCCACTTCTCAGGGAGATCTGCCGGCATGTTGCCGTTCCACGCATGCGGCACCCTCACGACAAGGCCATGCTAAGGGCAGCTTTTTCCTTGGCGTTTCATGGGTTCTTCCGTTGTGGAGAACTGACTGCTGGCCTGAGGCGATGTGATGTGACGATCAGTACTGACCAGCGGTCGTTATCGGTAAACGTGCGCTCATCTAAGACGGACCCCGACAGCACGGGCCACACAGTATTGGTTGGAGCCAGCACGGACGCACTGATCTGCCCAGTGCAGGCCATGGCAAACTACCTGGCGTTTCGCCCCGGCGGCGACCATCTGTTCACTTATGCTAATGGCCAGCCGCTTACAAGAAATGCAGTGTCCTCTGAACTGCGCAACCTGCTGCCACTCTGTGGGGTCACGGACCCGAGTGCATATGCCAGTCACTCTTTCCGGATTGGCGCCGCAACATCAGCGGCCATGGCAGGTGTCCCCGAACACATCATCCGTATCATGGGTAGATGGCGCAGTGATGCGGTCCACCGCTACATCCGGGCTGCTACAGCTGACACCCTGCGAGTGTCACGTCAATTAGCTGCAGTTCAAAGTCATCAATGGTAGCTGCGGGTTAGTGACCACATCATGCCTGAACTGCTTAGCTTTAGCTTTACATTGCTGCTGTCAGTACAGCACAATACACCAGTCGTATTTCATTATTACTCTCATGCCATATTGGGGATATTGGGAACGGGCAGTCTGTCTCCGCAGCTGGCTCATTTCAATCACTACCGGTCGCAGCTCCTGCCCACGGCAGGCCGACCGTCTCTCGTTCACACTCTGTGTGCTCCAGGTCACAGCTCCTGCGCAGAGCAGGCCGACCTGTCTGTCTCTCTCTCACACACACTATGTGTGCACCGGGTCACAGCTCCTGCGCAGAGCAGGCTGACCTGTCTTTCTCATGCACGCCAGCTGCTCCGCCCAATATCCCTGATATGCCAACCAGAAAACAATGTGTTCTGAGCCGGGTGCATGCCTGTATGTGGAGAGTGCGTTAATGGTGGTTTAGCGTGTGCGCTAAGCCCTGTTAACGAACGTGGAACATCTACCACTCATACTTAGTCTGATGATCATGCATCTGATTATGATGTCATTGCTATACATGCGCATGCGCAGCGCGCGCCACTCTCCCACGCATGCATTCCAAATCTTGCTTTAGAGAGAGAGAAGGAGAAAAGAGAGACTCCTTTGTCACTTTTGCTTTCTGACGACTTGACTGTTCACTGGTTTGTCCGTCAGTGTCAATTTCCCCTTCCCTCCCAACCCCATTCGACTGGGGATCACTATCTCTCCGTCACTGTCACCATAATTTCCTCAATAACAGTGTCAGTACAACTCTTGTCAATATACTTATATCGGGTGAGGGCAGTCTATCTCCGCAGCTGGCTCATTTCAATCACTACCGGTCGCAGCTCCTGCCCACGGCAGGCCGACCGTCTCTCGTTCACACTCTGTGTGCTCCAGGTCACAGCTCCTGCGCAGAGCAGGCCGACCTGTCTGTCTCTCTCTCACACACACTATGTGTGCACCGGGTCACAGCTCCTGCGCAGAGCAGGCTGACCTGTCTTTCTCATGCACGCCAGCTGCTCCGCCCAATATCCCTGATATGCCAACCAGAAAACAATGTGTTCTGAGCCGGGTGCATGCCTGTATGTGGAGAGTGCGTTAATGGTGGTTTAGCGTGTGCGCTAAGCCCTGTTAACGAACGTGGAACATCTACCACTCATACTTAGTCTGATGATCATGCATCTGATTATGATGTCATTGCTATACATGCGCATGCGCAGCGCGCGCCACTCTCCCACGCATGCATTCCAAATCTTGCTTTAGAGAGAGAGAAGGAGAAAAGAGAGACTCCTTTGTCACTTTTGCTTTCTGACGACTTGACTGTTCACTGGTTTGTCCGTCAGTGTCAATTTCCCCTTCCCTCCCAACCCCATTCGACTGGGGATCACTATCTCTCCGTCACTGTCACCATAATTTCCTCAATAACAGTGTCAGTACAACTCTTGTCAATATACTTATATCGGGTGAGGGCAGTCTATCTCCGCAGCTGGCTCATTTCAATCACTACCGGTCGCAGCTCCTGCCCACGGCAGGCCGACCGTCTCTCGTTCACACTCTGTGTGCTCCAGGTCACAGCTCCTGCGCAGAGCAGGCCGACCTGTCTGTCTCTCTCTCACACACACTATGTGTGCACCGGGTCACAGCTCCTGCGCAGAGCAGGCCGACCTGTCTTTCTCATGCACGCCAGCTGCTCCGCCCAATATCCCTGATATGCCAACCAGAAAACAATGTGTTCTGAGCCGGGTGCATGCCTGTATGTGGAGAGTGCGTTAATTATCATTTTGTGGCGCTTCCATGCGCATGACAACCCAAAAACCAGCAAAATATGCATGGACATGTGGCTTCACGAGTACACGCATCAGTTGTGAACACAGCTGAATAAAGCAGGGAGTCATATAGAGCCAGGAGAGGGCACGCCACTGGTTTCCGTGGATCCCGTCCGACTCAGGTTGTCACCTGTACAATTTCTTCTTCAGGTACTTCTTCTTGTTTGTTGTTGTTGTTGTTGTCAATGTATGGTTAGTGACTGTGCACAGTACTGTGTTTTGCTATTTGTGCACACAGATGACCTAGGCATTGACCTCACTATGTACAGCCAGCCACCTACACCCGACTCGCTGGCAGCAGGCAGCTCGGCAAGCTCTGAGCAGCACTTCACTGTCCGCGCCGGGGCACGCGTTGAGCTCAAGTGCTCGGCTAACCGTCGCCCGTCACCTCGGTTATCATGGCGTCGGGCTGGTGCTGAGCTTGAACCGGGCACGGTTGCTCACCTGGGCCACGTCGAAACTCGTGCGACTGGCGTAACGGTCCAGTCCACTGTGTTCATAGATAGAGCCAGTGTGCATGCGGTTGGCCTGTATCGCTGCAACGTAGCCAGCGGCTGGCAGTCGGAAACGAGAGACGTCATTCTCCACGTCATTGGTAAGGATGAACTGACACTCATAACTCAGTGTGATCATATTACGGTTTCCATGGTCTGGAACTGCCTCTTGTTCGGGCAAAACTCAAAACAATTCATTGAAAACCAGCATGCTCGGGCTATCCGCATTCTCCGTGAAAAAAAGATCATATTACGGTTGCCTCTCCTATTGGGTACTAGTACTGTATTTCCACGATTACACGTCACACTCGATTATAGGTCGCACCCCCATTTTCAGGTCTGAGCCACCATTTTCAGGTTTGAGCCATATTGTTTTGATATATTCACTTCAGTAGTAAGTAATGCTCGACTGTAAGTTGCACCCCCTTTTTTGCCCTTAAATTTTAGTGTGAAAAGGTGTGACTTATATCCAGGGAAATACGGTACATGCACTACACTGTAGGCACTTGGGTCAACAAAGCCTTTTATTGTGAACTTTTGCCGTCTAGTCTGCTATAGTATGCTGGAACACTGTAGATTGAAAAGAGAGAAAAGGACCTATGATCAATTTTGCAAAGTTGCCACATGTTAATGGCCTACATCTCTTTTTTCCCGTCGAAAACCTGCCCTTATTTCTTCACAGAAAGGGTATATCGGCAGGTTGAAATAGTGCAGGAATGACGAGTCACCTTATACATGTAGTTCTGGTTTTGCCATCATGCTCGGCCTTCTTTATGCAGACAACAATGGCGAAGAAGTACTGCCGCAATGTGTCGATGCATGGAACAGCACTGACCGTGCTGTCAACTCCGCGTGGCATCAGCTACGATCACTAAGCAGCCAAGACGTCCTGTCCACATCGGCAGATGTTGTGTTCATCATTGACGAATCTCGATCCATGGCTGCGGAACGCCTGTGGCTGGCTGAATTAGTCAATGATCTCGACCGGTCACTGCGTTCAGTTGACATCGGAGCACACATAGCTGCCAACCGATATGGTTTGGTAGGGTTTGGTGCCCGAGAGTTGAGCGGTGTAGAGTACGGTGGACGTGCAGTGCACGACGCTAACGGGAGCTTTCTTGTCGGCGCCCGTCAGTTCAGCGCCGATTTACTGCCGCAGCTGCGTTCTGACGGCGGTCACGAGGACAGCTACAGTGCCATTGGCAAAGCTCTGGACAGCAAGCTGTACCCAGCGCGCCAACACTCCACCAAGCTACTGTTTCTCATTACGGATGGAGATCGTTATGACATGGAATGGGATCTAACTAAGGACTTGGTGGAGAGCAGTCTCAAGGCAGCTGGCGTCACACTGCATGTCTTGCTCTACCTCAAGATATTCGACAATGCAAACAGGATCATACTAGGAGCAACGCCAACTCAAAACTATCAGTTGTTGGGCCCGCAAGGGATGCCCACTCCTGTGAAAGGCTCTCTGCGATTCGTGGCAAGGAACTCTGCTCCGAACACTTGGAGCGACTATGGCCAGCTGGCCCTGAGTAGCGGTGGCAGTGTGTGGGATCTCAGGCAGCTTAGAAGAGGCATTCGCCGGAGAGAGGCGTTCTCCGCCGCTTTCAAGCATGTAAGTGCTGCGTCCACTTGCTCACAAGGATCTATGTGCACATGCACATACACACACCTGCACATGTACTTTCACACACATGCACGTGTACATACATACACATACATGTGTACACACACACACATGCACACACACACACACACACACACACACACACACACACACACACACACACACACACACACACACACACACACACACACACACACACACACACACACACACACACACACACACACACACACACACACGCCCGCACATGCACACACTACGGCGTGAACTTGGGGACGATCCGATGCTTTTCCAGGAGTCTCCGGATTCGTGCCCCGGACTCTACATAGAACAGCAAAATTCTTCTGTGTCAATTGAATTCACAGACACATGGACTGTTTGTGAAGCTCATTCTGAATATATTCAACTCGTGAATAATGATCTAACAACAACTCGTGAATAATGGCACAATTGTCAGACCTGGTGATCATTTGACTGCATGTTTGTGAAGCTCATGAATAGCGACAGCTCGTTAATAACAACACTTTTCTCATGCATGATCAAGGGTCGTTATTTTGCAACTTGCAAGGTTGACTGTAGCTGATGTGTTATGAAACTTTTGTTTTGTTTTTTTGTTTCTTCACGTTGTCGCTGTTCCAGGCTGTTGTCACAAGCACGGCGGAGCAGGCTTTGGTTTGTGAGGAATGTTGGTGTTCTCCTCCCGGACAGACACTGTGCAACGAGACCACCGTCCATCCCACAGAGTGTGCGGCGACTAGAGCTGGTACGTGGTCCGCTGTTGCATATGAAATAAACAACTCGCGATTTGCTTGAGACGCGGTTGCACTGAGTGTTTCGCATGTGCAGTGCCATGCCGCGATTCACATTTGGACATTACACGAGAAAAAGACCAAGATCATCAATCACCAAGCAACTACAAGTTACGCTTTAGTGTCCACTAACACCAGTTACTAAACAATCAGCTCATGCGATAACATTGCACGACACTGACCGATGGTACTGATGTTCTACAACTTCCTGTTTAGTAACTGGTGGTGTCAGTGAACATTTTAGCGTAACTTGTAGTTCCTTGGTCCGTTTTCTTTTCTATATTTATCCTTGGCTCTCCATCTGAGTCCATCATCAATCACGCATGCACATCAAGGGAAAACCGTGGCGAGAGCAGACTAGAAAGCATGAAGTAGAAATATTGCTACAAACATGTGCATGACGTAATACAAGACATGTACATGACGTAATGTAAGACATGTGCATGACATAACGCAAGACATAACAATTTCCCCCTCTATAGAAAGTGGGAGCACTATACGTTGAAATTCAAGAACTGGCAGAAATAGTGTTGTGTAATTTGCCAAGACTTGAAGTATCAAAAAGCTGAGGGAAAGCAGTATTGATTTCCTCCGTGAACTTAGCCCTCTCATTGCGTTGTCAAATTTCGTTTTGACAGTGAAATTTTCATTCCATTCTAGTTTAAAAAAAAACAGCCAGCAGATCTCTTCCAGGTGATGAAGGCCCATTTACATCCAGTAAACGTAACACCACCTTCTTTGTTTGCCCATTTATAGTAACCTTGAATTCTCTTTCCCCGAAACACGGTATCTCAGAACCCGAGAAATCCTTGAAACGAATTGCAGGTGCAGAGAGGGACATAATGGAGACACGTAGCTTCTCAAATCATGTTGGGCGATAGTGCGGGTTCGAATCCCAGGATATGCCTGAAAAAATTAGGAGAATTGAAATCCCTCTTGGTTAGTAAAGAAATGCCACTTCTGGCTCCACATACACCGACATACCGACATAGACACAGACAACGGAGGCAGGAGCACACAAGGCGAGGGGTAGTAGTCCGCAGCCGTTTTACAGCGCGGCTGTGGTTACGGAATAAAGTGATCGGCGGGAGGGTACGGCCGTTCAAGTGATCCGAGTGCCGGCAATCTAATATGGCCGCCGCTACGTCACAGATTTTCAAATTTTCAAATTTCTCGTATCCCAATTATCTAGAAAGTTGGACCAAAATTGATATTAATCAAGGCCTTCCTGACTTACTTCGATGCTGTTTGTCTAAGGAAATCGGTTTTCCTAGACCGGGAATCATCAAGGAACGTTTTGATGCCTTTTCCATGCGTCTCCTCCATCCTCGTCCTGCGCTGCGCGAGGTTTTTCCTGTTTGGCGATCGGTGCGAGGATGCCGTGTGGAGCAATAGGCTGTTGCTCATCCGTCGTGGAGTTTTGGGGGGTTGTTGGTGAGTTTTTACAGGTGGAAGCACTCTTCATCTACCCAAAAATTTGAAATTCATTCCAAGTTACTCCTTGGAAACAAAAGTCACTCGTCACCAATTTCCGAACTTTTTGTGTGATTTGAACAGACACTATTCACTCATGGACATGCATCGAGCCATCTTGCAGTCAAGCTGTCGGGTTGGTGGCCACAAGATATTGAGCCTGACACAGACAACGAAGTACGCGGTCGCCAACTACAAACATTTACTGCAGACGGCCCTGAAAATTGATGTTGGCCAGGATGATGAGGATGTGCATCCTAAATACATAGTGTAGGTTGTGCAAGAACGCATTAGAGAGACGTTGCAGGGGGTCAGAGGCTTGTGGTGGTGGCTGTGGCGAGCTTGTAACATGGGCTGCACACACACGTTCAAAGTGCACAGTATGCACCCGTTATTCGACAAAATCGAAAGGAGGCAGACCTCCAAAGCGGAAAGTGGGATATAAAATCAGTGGAGCTGTCACTGAGGACACAAAACGCCAGAAATCTAGCAAGCTTGTTTCGACAGCAACCGTTACTGCACCCACCGTTACCATCACTGCTGCAACAACAGCAACCACAGCAGTAATGTTATGTCCCCTTGCGGACTAACATTCCATTACACTCATGCATTCTCACTGACACACACAAACACTAGCATTTGGAAGACCTTCCTCTTGGTCAGGTAAAGTAACAACAACAACCATATGCGAGCATGCGCAGTACAGTAGCAAACGGTGTAGTAGATATATTATGACTAACTTGCATACACAGCAGTAACAAATACCAGTACATGTACAACACAAGTAGTCCCCCCACCGTGCGTCCCAGCACACACGAGCCTCCTGCTACCACCCGCTTGAACACGGTATCGCGCTCATCGACGGTTGCCCAAGTGTTGGCCTCCTCACCATCCAAGCTGAAAGGCGATACCACTGAGCGGTTGATTGGGCATTTGGTCAAGGCAAGACAGTGCGACGGAACCCTTGCAGTGCGTCAGAATCAACGGGGCCGGGCACAAATTTATAAGCGGGTAATGGTTGGAGAGGTGTCGTCAACATCCGCTAGCGATCGCACGAAAAGGAGGAGAACATCCGAGCTGAGAGAGATTGGTAGGCATTGAGCATCATTATTGAGAATACATTATTTACAGTATTTGCTCTTTGCTTGGGTACAATGGTGCACGCACGCACACATGTACATGCGGCGTGTACACCCATGCATGCGACGTGCACAGACACACACACATGCATATGGCGTGCACACACACACACGCGCATGCGGCGTGCACACACACCCGCATGCGGCGTGCACACACACACACACACATGCATGTGGCGTGCACACACGTACACACACATGCATGTGGCGTGCACACACACACATATGCATGCGGCGTGCACACACACACATACACACACGTACACACACATACACAAGTGTGCGTGGCATGCACACACACACACACAAAGCACATTTCTTTTCTCTCTCAAATCTGGATTCAAGTCATACTCTTCAACTGGTATTTTCATTGCTTCAGATGAGACCGTATGCGTCGACGCCAGTGGTGCTAGGGCACGAGCAGCGACGTCATTGGCTAACATGAGTGATGCAGACAAGAAAGACGTACTGGAACAGGCCGGCGTGCTTCCATCTCCAGCTCAGGATGGCCTTGCACTCTCTCTCTCTCTCTCAAGGTTGATCTAAATCTATCCTGGAACAAGCTTCGTGTCCTGCGCTCTTGCTTGAAGACGTATGGCCTCAACCTGGAATCCGAGCACCGTGTTCGTGCCACACTGTCAGAAGCATTGCCAGCATATGTAGCGGAAACTATTCCAATGGTCCAGAAGTCAGACTGCATCCTTGCTGTGGCGGTGGTCTATATACCCAACTTGCTTGCTACAGTGCACCACTACATTGACGTGTACGCGAAGCATAACCTGCTGACATGGCACAATGGTGCCATTCCTGATGACAGGATATACGTCAAGCTGGGAGGTGACCATGGAGGAGGTTCTTTCAAGTTCTGCATGCAGGTAAATATATATACACACACACACGCATGCACTTTTGATCAATCGAAACAGCTCAATCCTTGGTGACAGTACTGCATTCATAAAAGTGGAAAGAGTAAGTTTGTGGCATGGCATATTTTGAAAAAAATTCAAAAAGGAGAAGTTGAAAAGAAGATCTGCTGCTGTTCTAATTTGTGTGCTGCAGATTGCAAATGTTGAGCACCCGAACTCAGTGAAGCGCACAATTCCGCTCTGCATATTTAATGCAAAGGACACAGTAGCCAACACCGAAACAGCACTGAAAATCTACCGCCCACAGCTAGAGGAACTGATAGCTAGCGGGGAGTGGAACGGCAAGAGGCTGTATTTCTATATGTATGGAGACTACGAGTTTCAAACCAGCAATTACGGCCTGTCCGGCTCCAGTGGTGTGCGACCCTGCCTGCACTGCCACTGCACAAAGAAAGCCATGGAGTTGCCCAGCAACGAGCGGGATGAGAACGACAGAACCCCTCGATCCCTGGAGTCACTGGGAGCCGACCTCGCAAGGTTTACAGCTGCAGGCGGCAACATCAGCAACGCCAAACATTACAACAATGTTATCCGGCCACCTATCCTGCCAATCCCAGTCGAGGACGCAGTGCTGCCTGCCCTCCACCTCGACCTTGGAATTTACTCACTGTTGTTCGACTGCCTCCTCCGTGATGTTCGTTCGCTTGATGCGCAGCTGGTCACGACAGCAGGCGCTGCGCTAGCGCCAGGTGACAGTGACAAGATGGTGCAGCTAGCCGAGCTCTATGCTCAGCACCGGCAGCAGATGGATCAGGCGAGGGAGAAATTCAAGCAGGCAGCCACTCTCCAGGAGCATTTAAACTTTGTCGCGCTGCATGGTGCGGAGCAAGGTGTCGCCGGCCAGAATATGGCCGATGTGTGCGCCAACATACAAGATCAGTGGAAAGCGGCCGTGGCTGATGAGCGCAGGCTCAGCGCAGGTGCTGATGGACTCTTGCAGCAGGTGCAAGCGCCTTTGAAAGAGAAAGACTTGAGCGGACCATGCGAGATGAGCATTGAGCTGATCCTGTAGCAGCACTACATTCAGCGGCAGGCGTATCACGGCGGAGCCTTCATAGGCAACCATGAAGGGCTCACAGATGAGATCATCATGCCGCTCACAGCTGCTCCTGTGTCCGTGGTTGAGCAGCGGTGCCCTAGCCTTCTCCCTGACGCTACAGCCATCCAGCAGAGGTACAGGCAGCTATTTGCTGGGTATGCTCGGTGTACGTCATCGTTCAACCATTGTAATATAATAAGTTTGTCAAGACACGTTAACGCTCAAAGCACAGTGGACTTAGTACGCACTCTGCCATACTCTTGGTTAGAACACACATTGTCCTGAGCACGAGTGTATTGATCCATACTGAATTATGCTGGACAAGAAGTACCTCACATACTAAGAACACTTTCCTGCTGCCCATGGTGGTATCTTATGAGACTTCACAGTTCTACTTCCGCTGACATGATTCCATAACTTGCTTGCACGTGGATACTGTTCACAAGTGACTTTGGGAATTCTTCATTGAGACTTTGCTCGTGAAGTCGACTTGATCCAAAATATCCAGTGCAGAGCTTCGCTGTGTTCTATCTGCTCTGCTTCTGTTCTGCTACAGGTGACTGACCAAGAAGTTGAAGATCTGAGTGGCAACATCAGAGATTTCATCGCCCTCGTCAGGTCCGAGCTGGTGGCACGCAACATGGCCCACATAGCACCGAAGCTGCATTTGCTAGAGCAGCATGTTGCTCCCAGCATGATGGGCGTACGCGTCGGACTGGGCCTTCTCGCCGAACAAGGAGCCGAGTCGATACATGCAGAGTACAATTGTCTGCTACGGACATATGCCTCCATACCGTCGGAGTTGCGAAGGCTGAAGGCTGTTGCGGAGGCTCACCTCGCAAAAACAGTTCCAACCTCTGTTCAGCGCCGGGTGGAGAAATAACTGCAATCAAGGTAGGACTGCATTTCCACTTTGAAGAGTCTTCGAGCGTAGCCACTCATTATCTGCACTGTCCTGTCCTGTCCTTCTTTGTCCTCCTTTTTTGCAGCTTACTCGACTGCTTTGACCCAGAGCCGTAGCATATCGTCTGGTCTGATGGACTGTTGCCTGAGCATCGCTCCACAACCAAAAGAAAATACTAATACTACATGCGCTTCCTGTGTTTTCAATAACCTGCATCAAGAACTCTTGTCTTTCTCATCCTTCTTATTTTATTTCCACTAACTAACTTGTCTTGCTCTTGCTGAGCACGATCGACTTTGGCTCTTTGTTTCCTTGCCAAACACCCGAAACACTCACTAAAACCCGGCGATAGTTTTTTTTCGAATCCCATCCGTTTTTGATGATATCACTTGAATTAATAAAACGAGCAGGTACACTAGATTCATGCATATTATGGCCGCCATCTTATTAGGTGGCCGTGCGTGAACTGCCGTGAGGAAGGAAAGGGGGAGATAGTACCCATTAATAATTACAGAACGTGTGAAAGATGAGACTCCCATGGAGTCCCAAAATGAGATATTTCGTTTTAGTCTTCCACAGAGCTCAGATTGAGACGAATCAGATATATATACATGTACGAGAATTAAATTCATTAGACAGAAAAGAGCATGCGGCCACGGGCAACTTATCTTGGTGGTTAACTGGCGGCGGGGTTTGTCCGTGTGCCCAGTATGGAGTGGCTGGCGACTGTCTTTCGTCCAATGGCCTCGGCGGGCACAGATCCTGCAGTGGTCGCTGCTTCTAGAGAAGGGGACATGGCGTGGCTGGTCACTACCCCCACGAAATGCACTCGCCCTTGCGAACCCTTTGGCGTCGCCCCGTTGGGGGTATGGTGTGAAGCGGGATGGAGGAGAACGACGGGACCCACGTTCTTTTGTCTTCTTTGTGGCCTCCAGTTCGGCCCTACGAATTTGCCTCGCATCGTCGTCGTCATCCGCAAAATCGTTGCCAGTATACTCCGCCACAGTATCCCAGCCCTTTTTATCAGCTTTTCGGATAAGGCGAGACCAAAATAAAATCGAGATTCCCGGGCAGGACCCATGTGAAATTGGTGCGGGCGGGCGAATTTTATTTTTTTATTTTTTCCCATGTATGTACATGACTATATATGTGTGCATGCCATGTTGAACTTTTTTCACAGTATTTTCCGGTAAATTTTATTCAGTTTTTTTTACAGAAAACAGGTACGCGGTTTACCCGTTCAATTTTCTATAATTCGGCCAACGATGGGCCTGATCTGTACATCTGGGAGTCATACAAGCTCGGGTTTGTGTGACTCCACGTCACAGATCCACTCACACGATCAGTACTGTACATGTATGAACTGTTAAAAAAAATAAAAAAAATTGGCTTTGGCTCGATTTTGGTGCGGGAGGGCCCGGGAATCTCCATTTTTTTTTGGTCTCGCCTAAGTTTATTTCTTTTTATAGTGAGAATCTCTGTACCTTGGTTGAGAGAGTCCACGGCGTCCTGGTGGCATCCTGCGCCGACCTGTTGTTTTGCTCTCTCCATCGTCGCCCACACCTCGTTATTCATATCGAACTGCTGCTCGCATCCCTTGGATACAAAAGAGGGTTTCAACTTCTGCCTGACATCAGGAGCTGTGGCGGATGCTGCCCTCAGCTCGCGGATCTCATCCTGAGTGTTCTGGAGTTGAATCTGCTGGTTCTCTACCAGACACGTCAGGTTCTGGGCCCACGCAGGGGGCCTGTCTGCACTGGACGTGGGTTGCGGCGATGATGCCGCCGACAAAGATGGTAAACGAGTCGACAGAGACGCGGAACAGGCCAACGACCCAACTCGTGTCGACGGAGATGTACCATTTCAGGGATTGACGCAGGTCTTCGATGTCCCACGTTACCGAGATGTCATTCGAGGTCCGCCACTCCTCTAGCTTCGTTGTCACACTCAACGGAAGCTTGGATAGCAGTTGGTGGCATACAAGTCGTTGGCCTTTAAAATTAGGTCTTAGTACCTCCCCCTGGGCCTCCAGTTGTAATAGGATGTTCTCGAGGGTCTCACAGGTAGTCTTGATATCCGCATAGCGTGTGCATGACTGAGGTATGTATTGCAGGCGACTTTATAGCTGGGCTATACCGATGTCTAAACTTGCCATGCTCAGCTTTATTAGTGTTGACGGCTGTCTGATAATACGCGTCAGTCACTGATACACCTGCGATCAGACGGGCGGCAGGACCTTTGAGTACACTGCGCAGCTATGTAAACTCGGACACCTGCGGTAACTGCTGTGTGTCAACGGCAGCAGTGAACATATCCCAAAAGTCCCCGGGCTGGGCTAGAATGTCACCATAAAATGTCGGCTGTGCTTGGAAACAACTGTGCTATGCAGCGTACTTGGTGAGGCCAAATAAATCGCGATGCACCGCGCACAGACCCACTTGGGCCTGAGCTGTGTAGCGATCACGTGGTCAGGTGCACTGTGATGCCATCGAGACCATGACGGCGGCTTCATGGAGCACGTCTGGCACGAGGTAGAAAGAAAGGAGAATAAATAAATGAACTGCGGAGCAAAAGTAAACACGAAGGAGAAATAAATTTGAAAGTCTTAGGAGAAATAGGAACGCAGTTCGTGCGTCTGGCGGAGGGTGCTTGCACCTAGCTAGAGGTGAGAGCAGCACTGTCAGATAATGGAAAGACTGAGTTAGACAAGGAGAAAGGCGACGGAGTTGTAGACTTAAACTACAGGAATTTCAAGTAAGACGTGAACACTCAATTTATATATGCATGCTAAAGGGGAAGTTAAGCCGAAAATCAAATTTTCACCAGTTGTAGTCTTCGGGGTGCTGAGTCGAATGGTCTTGGTCCGAGGAAGCTGAGATGCTCCCTTCCTCCTTTGTTCCCAATCGAACTCGCGCACTTCCACCGAAACTGGGTGACTGCGCCCTACTAGATGGGGATTTGTATGCAAAATGTCACTAAAAGTGCCATTTCGTTCTTATAAAAGCACGGATGACCGCGACTGGCCCATATGTTGTCGTTTTTTGGACGCTGAGTCGACTGGTTTTGGTCCGAAAAGGCTGCGATGTAGCGTTCGGCCCTTATTCCCAATCGAACATGGTTGAGCAAGCGGTCACGTGCTCCTGCGTACACCAGTCACCTGGTCACCGTGCCAGCAGGCGACAAATTTCACACCAAGGTTCAACTCAAAGGTGCAAAGGTTCAATTCGAGTGACAGAAACTCGCTCAAACATGCTGTTAGTTGTAGCCTACACGGCCCTGCAGGCACGGCGACCAGGTGACTGGTGTACGCCCGAGCACGTGACCGCTTGTCCAGCCATGTTCGATTGGGAATAAGGGCCGAACGCTACATCGCAGCCTTTTCGGACCAAAACCAGTCGATTCAGTGTCCAAAAGACTACAACATATGGGCCAATCGCGGTCCCTGGTTCAAAGGTTCAACTCAAGTGACAGAAACGGGCCCAAACAGGCTGTAAATTGTAGCCTGAGGGTGCGATGACCAAGTGACTGGTGTACACATGAGCACGTGACCGCTTACTCAACCGTGTTCGATTGGGAATAAGGGCCGAACGCTGCATCGCAGCCTTTTCGGACCAAAACCAGCCGACTCAGCGGCCAAAAGACTACAACATATGGGCCAATTGCGGTCATCCGTGCTTTTATAAGAACGAAACGGCGTTTTAGTGACTTTTGCATACAAATCCCTATCTAGTAGGGCACAGTCACCCAGTTTCGGTGGAAGTGCGCGAGTTCGATTGAGAATAAAGGAGGAAGGGAGCGTCTCAGCTTCCTCGGACCAAGACCATTCGACTCAGCACCCCGAAGACGACAACTGGTGAAAATTTGATTTTAGGGTATACTTCCCCTTTAAAGATTTGTGAACGGCAGTTCTCGACAAAGATCATTAATCACGCATGTGCATGAAAGGAAAACCGAGACGAGAGCAAAGACTAGAAAACATGAAGTAGAAATATCACTACAGACATGTGCATGACGTAATGCATGACGTAGCAGTTCATTTGTCCATCTCCTTGCCAATATGTTCGTTCGTTTGCCTCTTTGGTTTCTTGTCCAGTGCACACAGTGGTACACTCTGAACCAGTCGTTGTAGTAGACAAGCAGCGTGTTCTTGCACGCGCCAATGGTCGAGTCCAACTGCGGTGTGCGGCGGAAGTATTTGGCGCTGCTCAGGTGATGTATTCCTGGCTCTTTGACAACGGAACGCATCAGCGTGACTTGTACGTTGGCAACGGCACTCTGACTCTGGCCGGAGTGTCCCGGCATTCTACAGGACTGTATACATGTACCGTTAATAGTGGCAGTGGCCGGGGACAAGCGTCCGCTGTGGTGAAGGTTCTGGGTATGTTCTGCAAGCGTGTTGTTAATGTTAATGCAGTGCAACACTAGGATACGAGTTAAGAGTAACTCTCCATCACTGTAACTGGATACTATATACAGTCAGAAAGTGCAATAACTAGGCACACAACTGACAAGAGTACTGAGGCATTCGACGTCCTGACACCTAGCTTCAACACATCTCCAGGTGTCAGGACGTCGAATGCCTCAGTACTCTTGTCAGTTGTGTGCCTAGTTATTGCACTTTCTGACTGTATATAGTATCCAGTTACAGTGATGGAGAGTTACTCTTAACTCGTATCCTTGTGTCCTTTTCATTTCTACATTTATTTATGGCTCAACATCCGAGTTTCAGTGCAACACTACTCCTCTTTGTGCCCCGCCTACAAACATGTGCACGCACACCCACCCACGGAGCACGGAACACAGAACACATAGAACACTGGCTGCCTAGGGGTAATGCATTGTCAAATTTCTGGCGATGAAGGCACACAGGACGAAGACTAAACTCTTCTGCTGCTTGCTCGTTTCCATCTGCAGAGTCACCGATGTTAACCAGTAGATTCTCGGCACATGTGAAAGCTCCCGTGGGAACCTCTATGGAGTGGGCAGCAGAGGTTCAGGGCTACCCGCAGCCTAACCTGACCTGGTGGTATGAAGACATTGGCACGCCGGTTCCCAGCGGCGCTGCACAGCTTGCACATCGACTGGCCATCAGCAATATCTCCGTCCAGCACCAAGGCACGTACATCTTGCTGGCCAGCAATGTTCTTGGCTCCGCTACTGTTGAGGTCTACTTGAACGTGCAAGGTGGGTACAGCAGTTTGAGGTATTACCTGCATGTGCTGTATTTTCTGGAGTACATTACACACTCATAATTCACCCGAAAAAGTCGGTGCGGCTTATACGATGACAAAATGAGCCGTGAAATACAGAGTAGATGTATGTATTTTGTGACAAAGACACACACACGCACGCACACACGCACACACACACGCACACACACACACACACACACACACACACACACACACACACACACACACACACACACATAACATTGCACGACGCTGACCCTTGTCCTTTTCTTTTCTATAAATTTATCTTTGGCTCTCCATCCGAGTTCACTATTGTTTTGTTTGCCGCTTGTCTGCAGTGAGACCTACTGTACTGGTGCATCCACGGGTACTGCGTGTGTCGAAATACACCCGCATCGCACCCTACGCCCACATTGCCACATGCCTGTCGCCCGGCGATCAATCTGGATCGCTCCAGTGGACCTGGGACCGGGACCCAGAGCTTGCGGCACACCAGCAGCCATGGTCTGAGGGTCAGCTTTTGTTTGTGCCCTTCGCTCAGCCAACGCCCAAGGTGTATACTTGTTCGCTGCTATCGTCCAGTGGTGGCACGTCGGGAGCAGGTCCGCAAGGTTCTGTGACTGTCGTGCGAGAAGGTGGGAAGCTAGTCAACACTCTATTGTTGTGTGCGCGCGTGTGTGTGTGTGTGTGTGTGCGCGTGCGTGCGTGCGTGCATGTGTGCGCGTGGGTGGGTGTGCGCACGTGTGCGTGTACGAGGAATGAATGTAGTCGGGAATACAGTAAGATGTCCTTGAAGGGTTAATGCCAGTGGATAATCTCTACAGTAACGTACAGTTTGTTGAATATATGTGTAATGATGTGCATTGACCACTGTACTCCCTTACCCAGACACTCTGATTTCAGTCTAACTCTCAGTGTATTGGGTGTTGCGATGTGCTCCACAGATCAAGTGTCAGTGTACGTGCACCCGCAGCACTTGGTCGCGCAGCCCGGCCAATCCGCCGTGATTCACTGCGTTTCAAGTGACCCGCAGGCAGCTTTGACCTGGTCTTACGAGCCCAGGAGTACGGACCAGTCGGCCGACCTTCCAGAGCAAGTCGAAGTCATGTGGAATGGCAGGGTGCTTAGATTGCGGAACGTCGTGGCTGATCACGTCGGCCGGTATGTTTGCTCTGTGGCAAATGCTCGACACTCTGCAAATACAGCCATGGTTGCAGACGTTACCCTGGCTGGTGAGTAAGCACATCTCTGTGTATACGTGCATGTACTTCAGTTCTGGTTTCTAAACACATTCATATCTCTGTTATCCGGGCCGTCCGGGACCAGGCACTGCCTGTAACTTGGAAATGTCCGTAGCTCAGAATCATGTTCATTTTTGATGGGAAAGTGCCAGATATCTGGATTGCGACACCAGTATTTCCACAAAAATTGGCAAAAAGAAGAAATGTTCACACTAAACTTGCCCACAAGGTGCCCGGTTAACCGAGATGCCCGTAACTTTGAGGTCAGGATAAGAGAGATACGGCCGCAGTGATATTATGACTTGATCGAGCATTGATCAGGGTCTATGTATCTGGTTATTACGAAAAGTCGAAAACTTTTCCCTCTCGATTGGTTGAGAGACTCACCTCCTCTCCCCTGACTCACTTGTGAGGTCTGCATTCGTCACTAAGGTGAACAGGCATAGTGGTGGCCTGCGGATGCGAAGGCTAGCTTGTGTGCTTCTGAACATTCAAGCGATGCTGAAGCAGACCCCTCGAATATTATTATTTTATTTTCCCTCTCCTGCTTGCTGGACATGAGGGAGCTCTGCCGTTTGCCTCCGAGCATTTTCCCGTCAGCGTATGTTCATATGCACTGGTATCCATGTGTGTGCGTGTGGAACACTCATACTCTCAAAGGCTCACAGTTACCAGTATGACTTGTAAGTTGTCCATTTACAATGAGGAGAAGAAGACAACGGCAGTGCGAGTATGCGCACAGCTTACCACGAATACACACGGTGTTCTACGCGTACTTCAAGTACACTAATTACGTATGATAAAGTACCTCTACTACGTGTGCGCTTGTGTGTGCCTTTCATTAAGAGCGCGCAACTTCCAAGAGTGTCCAGCTGTCTGCACAACCTCTATCCAGTGCTGCGACGGCAGAACTTCACATCACGCGACTTGGTTTAGTAGGTTACGCTGGCAAACAGCACAAAGTGACCACCAGAGGGATACACCCAGCAAAGCAGGGGTGCGTGCAATCCCGTATCTATCATTCACAGGGTGCACATAAACACGATGTGTGTGGGTTTGTCACATGATGTGAATTGCTGCCGTCGCAGATCCCGTGAACTGGAGTTGCGCGCTCTTTGAGGATTATGTACTCTTGCTTCCATACTTTGTGGCGTGCTGATGTGCCATTGCTATTTCGTGCTCGGATGCTCTGCACCATCGAAATTAATTCTGTGTCCTCCACTTTGTAGGTGCTCCCGTACCGCCTCTTGTCGACACGCTATCGTCACAATACAGTGCTCACGCCACCAGCCTATCGTTTCCAATGCCTTGGTTGCTCTCCGCCGAGGATGTCAGTAGCTCCGACGCGCCCCACCTGAGGCTGGCATACAAACAAGCCAATACACAGGCCACGCAGGCGTGGATGTGGTTGCCGGAGCGCATCTCGCCGAGCGAGCAGCGCACCGCAACCATCTCCGACTTGCGGCCGAACACGCCGTACGAGGTGTTCTGGCAGGCCCGTTCGTCAGCCGGACCATCGCTGCCAAGTGCGATAATCACAGCTAGGACTGCTGAACACCCAGGTAGGCAACTGGGCACAAGGGAAGGATGCAAGCGTACTTGCTGCCCTAAAATGATTCTTGCGCGTGCTTAAAGTATGTTGTAAAAAACACAGAAGGTGCATGCTCTGTTCCCAACCAAACTCTCACACGCTCACTGTTTTCCGACTCACCAGCTTTGTGTAGCCTGGATCGGATTGCACCTTTGCTTGTCAGTGTCATTGAATCTAACATGTATATTCTCCCGTTATCACTGCGCTTTCGGGCTCAGACACCTCATAGTTATTTGCCCTGGGAGTGCGGCGCTGGAATGCGAGTGATAGAAGACCCTTGTCAGAATGTACTGCTCATAGGCTGAGAATAGGAACAGTGGCCCCGGGCATCGATCTTGTCTTCCCCTCACTTTTGCAAGCATGCACATTTAGTAGGTTTCTTTTCTTTTCGTGTTATTGTGACATAGCAGATTGATGGCTGCCTCACGGCTATCTCTCCTCTCATCCAAGCCATTCAGCACCAGCAAACCTGTTCACTCAGCATTCAGCTGATACACATCAACACAAATATGCTTTTAGTAGGCCAATACAGTACGGATCGGCTATAGCATTGGTGTTTGATTTTCAGTATAATATCACTATAGGCGATATATTACTACAGGTGATATGCATACTTAGGTATGCCTGACACATGCGTGTATGGTGTCATTCGAATCAGTGCAGCGTGCAGAAGCGTGCTGTGCATGTCACTGTGCAGTACGCGCAGTGCAGAGCTACTTCCTGCGGAAACAAAAACTTCGTGACTTTTTGACATGAGTTTTCAAGGAGTTGCTGTGCTCAACAAATGTGTTCTTTTGGAAGAGAAACACTTCAACACATTCCATCCACATATCAACAATATCTACAGGATCGATTAGTGGGAGTAGAGTCTCAGTCTGGGTCGCCATCGCTCGACTAATCACCGCTGAAACCGTTCCAAGTGGCAGGTCGACCGACGCGTGATGTCGTATGTCACGGAGAAGCTTCTCTGCGTCCCTGATCGTCTTCGCTGTTACCTGAATGCCTTCTCCAACATCTCGGAGGAGACCACGGTAGCGCTTCAGCGCTGGTACTCATTACTGCCTCCGTTCTCGCTCGAGGATGCCCCGGAACAACAAGCACAGCCAACGCCAAACATTTCGAATTTCCTCCGAGGGATATCATAGTCGTACCAGCGCTTCCTGACTGCAGCGATCAGATCTCGCCATGTATGATGTATAATTTTTTATGATCATCACTATAGCCGGTGAAAAATGTATGCAATAAAATCATTTTGACTAAGAAATCGTATCACTATAGCCGATATATTACTATAGCCGATTATTACTATAGCCGATCCGATATGTATAGAAAGGGGTGGTTTACGAAAATGAATTCGAGAATACGATCACTATAAGAGGTATATTACTATAGCCGACAACCCTATAGCCGATCCGCACTGTACTGCAATAGAGAAGATTTTGGTTTTCCATGTGTGCTGTATAGATGGTCCGATCTGGCCACTTCCATCCACGTTTCCTTCCCTTTGCACCGCTACGGCAGTGACCATTGCTGCACCTCTTCTGAACCCTGAGGAGGACGAAAGGACTCAGTCCACTGCAGAGATGATCAGGTTTAGCTATCTCGTCGTGGACTATTCCACGGGCATGCCATCTGGTCACTCATGGGTGATGGTACCTGCCGACAGCGTACAGATGCAGATGCTGATGACACCGGCACGTCAGCAGGTAGTCCATATCCAGGGATTGACGCCTCGTACCCGGTACAAGATCAGGGCTTGTCGTGTCCGCTCGGACCAGAGCTGCTCGTCGTGGTCCGCACCAGTATCATTGACCACAGCTGACCAGGGTGAGTCTAGTGCTACCAAGCAGCAGCTAGTAGCTACATGTGTTTTCTGAAGCAGTCTACAGGTATGTGCAGCAGCAGCAGCAGCAGCAGAATGTATGCGAGTACATGCATGCATACGTGAGTGCGTGTACATGTGGAGAGTTTAGATACGAAACGTGACATATCCGTTTCATCACTTTTCGGATTATGGCCAGAAAAAGATTCCTTTATGTGCGGTTCGAATCTAAATCCATATTTGGGTACTAGTTTTTTTATTGGTTCTATTCAGATTCTTCGTGTGAAAATTTCACTGAAAGTGCCCCTAGACATATAAAGAATGATCACACTGAACTCAAGATCTCACTCAAATTTGTTGCTTGTTGCATTTTGCATCTAAATTCTTCATGTATGTGTGCATGTCTGTTTTTGTGGGCAGGTACGTGAGCAGGCAAACACTGAGTAAATCTTGCCACTACAATTATGTTCATAAGTTGAAAGGGAGTTGAAACGGAAAAGGTCTGAAGAAAATATTGGCTATCGCTACCCGGACTCCATTATTTACTTTGTATTCTTAGCGCTCTCTCCCCTCTCCTCTCCATTCTACCCTAGGTGTACTACGGTGGCCGCACCCTGCATTGGTAGATGGCGGAATAACTCCAACGACAGTCCTCTTCAACGTGCCTGAACCAGTGAATGACACCAGCGCTGTGACGCTCTCTCACCTGTCATTGGCTTACCAGAGTTACCAGCTGTCCACAGGAGACTGGAGTCCAGTCGTGCACTCAGGCGTGCGCGTGCCGCTTCCCGTTCGACCGGGCGCCACCGTCCGCCTGGGCGGCCTCAAGCCGGCTACGCTACATCGTGTGTACGCGTACGGAGTCGTGTTGACGAATGGCTCACGCAATCCGTTCAACTGCCCAGTGACCACCATGACAGCGGCGGTCGGTACGTTGTTGGATATTCCTGTGCCTTAGCTTGCCAATCGATTTCTTGGTGTTTACTGCCAATGAACGTTCTGCATGGTTTGTAGACTTTGTAGTTTGTGCTGCTGAAAGAGGTACTAGTACATGCGGGGGGGGGGGGGGGGGGGGGGTAGGGTAATGATGCATAACTGTTAGCCAGAGGGCAATTTATAAGAAAGATGCATGTCAACATTTGTGGCTTAAGCCTAGTTCACATTCGACGCAACGCCGACGGTACGGGACGTAAGGGCTTGTCGGGAGGGCTGGGGTGAGCTGTAAAATCCTGTACGTTTCGTACGACACGACATGCAGCAGTCGTTGCGACGTTCAACGTCGAACGGCGCGAGTCATAAGGCACGGTCCGTGACGGGGTGACTTTCGGACCTAATTTCTCGTTTTTCGGGACTTCTTTTCAATTATTTCTCCTTCAAAGAAGTGGAATCAAGCTCACAATACCAGTTTTTCAAGAAGACCAAAAAATTAGCTCTGAAAGTTGTGGCATTCAAATAATAGCCCCAGGAAATGATAGAATAGTTCGTCTGTCACGCTTCTGAACTATCCCTCAATACAATAAGTGACATGAGATCTTATGTTGCTAAAATTCAACTCAGGTCGTCCTAGCCATTCTGTGAGTTATCATGGGAAGCGCAGTGTTCGAAATGCTTAACATTTCCAAGTACGAATCGGGAGTAGTCGGCGCACGACGCCGTCTCCTGTTCACACTCGAATTGCAGCCGTTTTGTACGCTTGCGTCCCCGCCTACGCCCGTCTACGGTATGAAAAGTTGGATCGATCCACTCTTCCCGTCGCTTCCCGATCTGTACGGTAGTACGGTTGCGTTCCCGTTCCCGGTGTTCACATTGGACGCCGTCAGACCGTCCCGTCGCTTCCCGTCGATCCTTACGTCGCGTCCCGTCGCGCCCCGTCGAATGTGAACTAGGCTTTAGTAGTATTGTAGCCATGAGGGAGGGGAGGAGGGAGACTGCCGTACTTTGCAAGATCAGAGCCTTATTGGAAAACCGACGTCCACGGTATAAACTACATTGTTTTTATGAGTTGCCGGGGGTGATTTTGAGGAGATTTTTGTGTGCAAAAGGTGTGATTCTGACGCCAGAATTAGAAGGAAAAATGTAGGTGCATGACAATAGAATTGTAGATGGGTGACGTTATCATGCTTGGGCCAAACTCCGTTCAGGTACATGTAAGTGTGAATATTACGGTAGGGTTGGTGAAATTGGCCGTGCGTGCATTTGTGTACGGTGCAGACCGTACAGTGCTCATGTCATCGCCATCAACTCCCTATCAATTCCTGCCACCATCCAGACCTCTCCGTTCTTTATCCGCTGACGATGTTTTCAACGACGAACCTAAAAGAAAAAGCGATCGACAGCCAGTTCCCAGATGCTTTCTTTTTTTACAGGTGTCGACACCATGCCAACACGAACTCTTCCAAAACTCGATCAAACTTCTTTGAAAAAAGAAAAGAATGTTCCCACACCGGGAATCGAACCCGGGCCGCGGCGGTGAGAGCGCCGAATCCTAACCACTAGACCATATGGGAGACACATTGATAGTCACCGGGATGGCCAATAGCAAGACAACACAGAGCGGGAAATTGCTAGTCATACAACCTCTGTACTGTACTCTTGATATCCATATAAAAACCGCTCTGTGACCCGTTCTGAAAAACCTTTACTGGTGCAGCCCCGTCGTAAAAGTATGAAATTAGAACTGGCCCTTTATCACCCCAATGTGAAATGGTCCACCTAAATAGGGAATGACGGAACCCGAACGCACCAGTAGCACGCGGTTCCTACCTACACCTGTGGATGCAGATGGGGACGCTGGTCCACAGCCCCATAGTAATATTAGTATAGGCCATGCATGGTCGTCGCTGAACTCCCATGTAACATTGTTGGATATCCCACGTTTAGATCTACTACTGGCAAACTTACACGGCCACTGATACCCTGTAGTAGTGGTGGTGGTACCCTACTAGCGAATTAGTGCCCCTGGTACCATGCAGTAGTGGTGGTGTAATCCTATGACCGTGATCCTGTGCCCTCCCGACGTCAGCAGACTTAATTCAACATATTGGCTTGCAGACGAAACATTTTTAATTGCATGAATGCTGTCGACGCTGTTTCAATGGCCCAGTGATGAGCGGCGATTGAAACTAAGGCGACCTGGACACGAACGAAGGGAGAAGGCAGAAGAATGCGTGTTTAGGCAACAGACGGAGACTGTGAAGCATTCAGCCATTGCATACCACTGATGCGAGCTTATGGCCCGCACACATCGGGAAGTTCACTAGTTGCGGCTTGTGGGAAATTTTCCTTGTCCAACAATTTTAGGGGTCGCACTTGGTATCATGATCAGCTCTCGACATCGCGGCCATCTTGCTTTTGACTGCATGCGCGACGCGTGCTCTTTTGGATCACGTGTGTGGTTCTCAATGCATTGTTTGCATACAAAACTGCACAAGCGCTACAAAGCTAGCTACGTACATCAAGACCTGCAGATATCTGATTTCTGTGAACAGAGTTTCTTCTTCACTGATACCGTTCTTGTTTTGACACGGCGACGTTCTCTTTCCCCGTTCTCCTTTCAAAATAGACTTCCATTTAGTTGTAAGTCACAACAGCAAACTTACTGGTAAGTGGAGGTCTAAGGCTTGCGCGCAAATATTCCCGCTTTGAATTCGCGTGTCAATACTCAGAACAACGACCGTGGGAATCATGCGAGTGGAGCATTTCTCAGGAGGAAGAGGTTCTGTTTGCAAAGTTGCTTCGATCCACAAGGAGTATACCAGCAACGAGTACACCTGCTACGGAAAGCGATCCTATCGGGACTTACTGACGGTATGGTTTCCTTGTTTTATGTCACTTGTATCGGTACTTTTCCTACTGCACGGACTGCACTTGTATGATACCTGTGACACAAACATCACAATCGCACGGTGTCGGCTTGAGTTGGTCTTGGAGTCTTCATGGTCCAGCAACGCGGCATCGCCGAGTTGGAGAAAGAAAGCAATGAATGTACATGAACATTGTTCCAAAACAAAGACACAGGGCAAAGCGTTGCATTCAGCAGGCAGATCATTCTGATCCCTTCCGCGCACCAAATAAACTCAAAGGCAGTCCAAGTACATGTACTTTCCGACACTGCGCGATCGCGCGAGCGGCTCGCGCCGGGCCGTCCTTGCAGTCTTCAAAATGTTCCTTGGCAGCCATCTCTTCTCCGATTTCGATGATCGAGGGCTCATTTTCTTTATTAGAATCTCCTCCGTAAATCTACCGAATCAATTTTTTCCTCAACGACATAGATTTACTGTCAGAATACTGGAAAGCAGGGCGACAACGCTCAAAAAAAGCCCTACACACGGATTTCCCTTCTACTTGACCGATTTCAAAATTTCTTTCGATAGATGTCCGCGTACTTGGCCGTCAAAGCAGCCCTGCGATTTTCAACGCCGTAGCTAGATAAACGGCTGCCAAGGAACCCTTTACAAATCGCCCAAATATTGCGATATTTTGAATTTTCCGTAACTCTGATTGGCTGCACGACCCTGACGCGCACGTGCTGCGTGCGTGATGAATCAAAATGGCTGCGATGTCTAAGTACACAAGTGCGACCCCTGAATTTAGCACAGGTCGATGTTGTGGACACCGAGGTGGAAATGTGTAGGCAGAATGCATGAATAGATAGATTCACACACACACTACTCCTTACCTCTCCATGTCACGTCCACGGGCCCGTGGCTGCCTCCCAGAGAATACATTGTGCACATGGATACTGCAGATGGACACACAGCGCAGGACATAAGGGTTCAGTGGTGGTGCACATACGCCACAACCACTGGCACGGCACGTTGCACATGCCACGGAACTTACATGTTACCGTGGTAGGAGTGTGTGGGCGTGGACGCGTGGCCTCGCCAAGGTGCCCAGCGCCGTCGTCTGCGCCGATTCTGTCCGCGCTGCTGCCGGGCATCGTGCCCGCGCTCCTGTGACACCGGCACAGGCTCCTGCACGAGCAGGTTCACGTTCCCCAGCCCTGCTGCGGCTGCTGGTGCTGCTGCGGGCGGGGGGTCGTGCCGTTGCTCCTCCATCACCACGGTGACGGGGCTGGGCACGGGACGCTGGGCAACAGGAGGAGGTGGGGGCGCGCGTGGCGACCGTCGGTCAACTCCGGTGTTTTCGCCCGCAGCAGCCGCATCTGCGGGGGCAGCGTCAGCTTGGGGAGGGTGGGAGAGGACGTGAGACGGCGCCACGGGCTCCAACACCTCTGCGGATGCAAGGAGCTCAGCAGCGTCAGCTGCCGACATGTCCAGTGCATCCAAGCATTCTATAGTTATATCGGTCTCTGTATTGCAAGAAGCACAAGAAAGCAGGGCACATGCAATTAGCAACGCAATGCACGGCAAGTTGAGAGGATTCCCACCAACCACCCATCCTCACTAGTGGAGCAGGAGGACACAGTGCGCTACCTCAGCATCAACCAGCAAGTCGCTGGGAGCGAGATTAGTGGTCTCAGAGCTTGCAGTGCAAGCGAGACTGCGCACACATTGGCGTAATGACACACAAAGTCATTTGTAGTATGCAAGGCACACATTGGTATGGTCAACAATTGACTCTGTCAACGACACTACACTGTCATTTGCACTCCACACACAACCATGGCGAAACACTCGAGCTGTGTAGTGGCCACCCGTCTGCCCACCATGGTGGTTCACACTCGCAACAAGAGACATACGTCTATCACCAACATTGAACGAGGTGGGTAAGAGGAAAGGCACACCTCGGAATATTTCCATGCAGACACCTGTACGTGCATGGGCCATAGTGGATGTGCGACATATTTCGTGATCTCCACCGCATGCCGAACATTCATGGTGCGCTGTGTGCGTCAGACATCTGTACGCATCTTTGCTTGTGTCGCCAGTGACAAGTATGTTGTGGACCTGTAATTCACGGTGGCCGTCAGCAAAGTTTCGTGGACACTGTGCACAGTCACAGGACCATGAATTGGTGTAGCCGATCGTCATTTGAGACCTCGTGGTGTCGGCTCTTTTGCTGCGCAGGTACTCATCGCATGTTTCAACAAGCCACATGAGTGCCTCGGTGACATTTTGACAAGAGCCGTCGAACATTGACGGCGCAGCTCGCGTGCAATGTTGGAGCAACTCCCTAATGGGAGGTGCACCTTGCGACATTCTCAGTGCATCTAGCGTTGCAACCAGAGGTCCTATCACGGGCACATCAGTAGTTACCTGCTCTGCGTACACATTGCTCAAGTGATTGCTCAGTTGACTGGACGCAAGAAGCTGGAGAGCACTGTCCAGGAAACATGTGTTTCCCAGGTTGGGCAGGCCAACAACGGCTTCGGCAATCGGCCTCCGTAAGTGTAGAACAGGGGATCGTCGATCGATGTTCCTGTCCACCTGACCTACGGCTGGACACGGACTTCTTTTCCGGCCGCGCTGACGTTGAGCCTTCCTCTTCTTTGTCCCAAGTGCTGCTGGTGGGACAGGAAAAGGTGCCAGGTGTGGTGTGAAATTTGCGCGGAGGCGGACATTCACCGGGATGGCCAATAGCAAGACAACACAGCGGGAAATTGCTAGTCATACAACCTCTGTACTCTTGATATAACCAAGAGTACATAACCAAGAGTGTGCAACTCCACGATCCCCCAGCCCACGGCGGAATTTTTTTATGACATCAGTCTTTGGCGGCGGTTTGGCTCACTGATGCCATCATGCGTAGCCAGAGATCAAAGTACAAATATTTCGTACATTACAGCGGCGGTAGTCGAAGCAGGACAACGGACAATAGATCGATGTGTCTTGAACCTGACGAACTCTCACCGTATCTACAAAACAAGCGCGGGAAAGCATACCCATTTCATCATACTCCTGCCAAAGAATGACGCAATAAAAAAATTCCGCCGTGGGTGAACCCATCGCAGCTCAAGATATGAGTTGCACACTTGGCCATGGTAAAAATTATCTTTGATTCTCAAGTACGCGCGCACCGATTGTTGGCGGCGTACCGAGGTTTATTTTTAATTCCTATGCATGCATATGCGCGCATGAAAACAGTCAATGCGAAAGGCATGAATCAGAGAGTACATGTAGTAAAATACCGGCATTTTTCTACTCCCTGGCCTGAATATATGAACATGTGACCATGTACACATGTGTGACCCTATCTTTGGAAATAAAAAAATTGTGGGAAATAAAATTAAAAAATCGCTCGCTCGCACCGATTTTCACAGGCTCATGACCTGAGAATCAACTTATTTTTTACCATGGTCTTATGTACTCCTGATATAACCAAGAGTCCATAAACAAGAGCATGCAACTGTGATCTATTTTCTGTGGACCGGATGAGCGGTGCGCTACCTTCATTACATCATTCAGCTGCATTTCGCGCACTGCGAGAAGTCAAACACCACACTTTCCCTGTGGTTTGAAATGAAGTGTTGTACGGGAGCTCACACATCCAAGATTTAGAGATCTTGTGGATACTCAAACGAATCGAGCAAAAACGGATGTGCTGGTACGAGAGATTGTGGGTTTGAGTGCATGCTTTTCAGAATGTGATGGAGGCAAGTTATAATAATGAAAGCAGCAGACCGCGCGCAGACTCTTAACCACAGCTGCATACTCTTGTTCATGGACTCTTGGTACATGTACCACTCTTGGTCTAAAAGGAAAAAAAGGGTTTTATTTTACAGTGTGGTGAGTTGTGTTGTTGCCATGACTGGACAATGTGCAGATGTGAGACGTTGTTCAGCTCACCTGCCAATAGTTGAGTTATTCTGTGTGGCTGTGCCGTAAGCGTGTATGCTCAGATTCACCAATAGTTGGGTTAATCACCGTGTCTGTGCATGCCCAGATTCACCATTCTGGCCAGGACCACAACTCGCAGTAATCAGCGTGTCAGCGAGAAGTGCTACGTTCCTGCATCCTCGCGTTGTTTCTGACTCATCCCCAGTGGGGTTTTCCCTTCACCTTCGCCGCCGCCGCCAGCACCACCACCACCAACCCACAGTGGATGTTGCGTTGGATGAAAGCGAACCCGAGTGGCTCCCCTGGCCGTACGTCTTCACGAGCGCATCACACGAGCATCTGCTAATTGACAAGCTTCATCCTGATACCACATATGATGTCATGGTTGTAAGAGGTGGGAAGAAATCACGCTACCAAAATGGTCATACGCTCACCTTCCGAACACCCTTTCCAGACAACGGTAAGATTGTAACGTTGGTTTTGAATAGATTTTGTTACTGTAGGCACGGAGTGCACGAGCCAGTTGGATACACATGTGTTTCTTAGCCTCCGCACAGCTAGCTACTTCAACCTTGTTAGGTCTCATCAGCAGATCTCAGGGTGACTGGCTGAGCCGATTGCTATTTTAAATGTCTAGTGAACAATAATACAATGCCCTGTCTGTGTGTATGTGTCTCTGTGTCTATGATTGCGCATCACAGACACATCTGAACAGTTTCTGGTGACTGTCATTGATCACAAAACGACCTCCACTTCGGTGACGGTGCTAATCCGAGCACGTCTCGAAGCATCCGCACTGGGTCATTTACCTGGCACTGGCATAACGCAAGGCCGCTCCTCTGCCGGACCAGGCATAGCCGCAGAAACCGAACAAACGATTGAGGGCTTGCAAGCCAACACTCTCTACACTCTGCAGTTCCAGTCTGAGACGGCGGTGGCTGCACACGCAGCGCGCTTGTTAGAACAGCCGCCGGATGACATGGCATCTGTCCACGTGAAGACTATTCGTATCGGCAGTCCTGTCTGGCCAGAGGATTTCCTGGACGTGCTGAAAGTGTACTCGCGGGAACTTAGACTTCCTCTACCGGCTGTGAAGGGCCAGCGATCGCACGCAACGTACTCGCTCTACATGCGCCGTTACAACATGATGGAACTCTCGTGGACTGATTGGAGCACATATGCACCTGCCGCGGATCTCGGCGATGAATTCCGGCTGGTGTCGGTGATTGGCCTTTCCCCTGACACACTCTACCAGGTATTCTGGCTGGACGGTCGGGGCGTAGGCAGCCTGGCGCGGTCCCCTGTGCTGTCTCTAAGAACGCTGCGCACAGGTGAGTGTGTGTGTGTGTGTGTGTGTGCCTCAAGCGGCATGCGCCATACTGCAGATTTCGAGTTTAGAGCCTCAGCGTGAGGAAGCCATCGCTATCATTGCTACGGCAATGGGCGTTCAAGGTTCAAGGTGTGTGTGCGTGCGTGCGTGTGTGTGTTTGTGTGCGTGCGTGCGTGCGTGTGTGCGTGTGTGGGTGGGTGTGAGTGAGTGAGTGAGTGTGAGTGAGTGTGTGTGTGTGCGAATGCATCGTGATCTGTTGTGCAGTGAGTGTGTGTACAGTCTGTATCGGCTATAGGGTGACTGGATATAAGAATATATCGGCTACAGTGATATTGGTACGAAATATCAAAAGCAAAACGTGTTTTACCCAGTACAAGTATCACTATAACCAATATTATCGGATGTAATGATATATCGGATACTATGATGGCAACAAAGAATCAAAACATGCATAACACACTATATTATTATCGGCTCTAGTGATAACTTTAAAATACATGTAGCAATAATATCAAAGGCCCTATTTTTTTAACTTTCTTCACGTTGCTTATTTTTATAGTGATACAGTCATGTACATGTACATAACAGAATTTTTTGTATGGAAGTGCGGGCACTGTCAACTACGCAGCATGCTCATTTGTCAAAACGCCATGCTGGAAGTACTTCCTTGCCTTTCATGTGTCGATCGGAAAAAAGAAAAAAAATCGGTCGTATCGCATAATTTATAGTGATGCATCGGTTATAGTGATAAGATCACGGAAATCAAAAGGGTACGCTATAGCCGATACAGACTGTAGTTGTATACGTCGTTGACCTGAGAGCAATGCGTAGTGCAGAACAGAGTTGTCGAGTGACTGAGTGGATCCCCCCCCCCCCCCCGCCAATTTTGTTCAGTTCGGAATGAGCCATGCACGGCGGTTATCAGCGACACTGGGGCCTGTGCTTTATCAAGATTTCAGCCATAGATTTTTTCAACTGAAGGAAAGAAGCAGTTCTGCTTAGTGCTTATCCATTGTGCAGTCATTTCAGGATGGCAAATGCTGTTGGCATCACCACAGCATCCTTCATGGACATTGCACATGACTGTTCTGCAGTTTATGGCAAATGGAAGTGAAATGAATGCGCGGTGGCCTCGTTGGCGATTGGAATTTTTAAGGACTCTTCATTCAAGTTTCCAAGCGTTGGTTTGAGTCCAGCGCTGTCATCACAACAGTAAAATTGTAGAAGCAGTTTTATCGTTCTTGGTAAGACTGTGTAAGTTAAGCATCATGAAAGACCATTGTTGCCCCATGAACTACCTGACGAAAAAACTTTACGTTCTGATGAACTATCCTGATGTAGCGCTTTGGCGCACTTTGTATTGCTTTTTAAATGAAAATTTGCACTATTATGGTGCAGTCGACTCCTGATATAACGAACACTGATGTGCAGGAGAATTAGTTCTTTATAGCCGAAGCTCTTTGTCACAGACATGCACTTACGTACACCATACAAGCAGCACGTCATACCTGGCATGTGGCCCTTGACTGTATTGTTGCACTTGGTGCACATGCTCCCTTACAAGATGTCCTTCGTTAAAACAAACAGTTCGCTACAAAGGGTCAATTCTGTATGGCTTCAAACAGGGACATGGGCAACGGTTCACTCACTATAATATCACAAAATCCGCTTCTATGTGGAGTCGACTGCACTTGAACCATACGCGTGTTATCTCTGACTGACACTGTGGGTCTTACCTGAGCTAGATCGCCACCATCAGTGCATGCCGGCAGCGATTTGGTTTTGTTTGTGAAGCAACCCTTACTTGAATGTCAGTCGGTTAATTCTGTTGGCGTTGATTTCCATGTGTGCTCGGCGGGTCTGTGTTCACGTCACTATGGAAACAGATCGCCAGTGTTGGCCGGACTGGGCACTCAACCCATCCAATTTTACCTCAACCTCAGTGTTACTACATCTGCCTCCCCTCGACATACAAGACTGGAATGCTGCCGACGCAGTGCTGCGCCATCGTCATAGAAACGCCAATGGCAGCTGGTTGCCGTGGGTTGCCGTTGGAAACCTGTCGGGTCCACAGTTCCAGCTTTCCGGTCTGAGTGCCAATCGGACAACACAGGTGCAGCTCATCAATCGGGGCCACGCTTGGCGACCTCTCGTGTCGGACGTCTTGACATTCAAGACGCTTGAACCAGGTACTGTGGTTCATGTATAATCCGGCACCACTTGTGCTACGGAAATTCTGCTGGATGAGGGAGGGTGCGGGATTAACAAATCTAGTTTACTGCTGCAATACGCATGAAGAGGACATTCTGGCTGCTGAAAATCGTGCTGGCTTATAGAGGGTGCTGGTTTATAAAGTACTGGATTAAAGAGGAACGACTGACGACTGTACTGTGAACATGCTACTTTGACATGTACCGTGGTGTCTGTGGACATGCTAGAGGTTCCCTTAGAGTAGATATCCCAACGTGTGCAAGTATGCTTATGGGTTCCGGGCAGCGCAGTGCATCAGTTATATCATTTAACCCTTTGGAGTCCATGGTTCGATTTCGAACCATGGGCATTTTGTATGCATGTGGGTGCAGTCAAACTTTCGGTTCTTGGCCAAATCTTCACCAAATTCAACAATCGAAGGGTCTAGATGGTAGAGAAAACTCTCAGCTATCGCCTCGAACAGGTCCGAAGTCTCTCCGATGAAGTTTGAGTGAGCGGCGAGCGATCAAACATTTCGAATTTTCTGCGCTGCGTGCTGCGAGTCAGCAGTGCGTGAAAAAAAGGGATTTTCCCAGCTTCATGACAGGCGGCATATGCCAGGACCAGCGCGGCGCGAAGTCACGGCAAGGTAAGCTTCTACTCGAAAAAAATTGAACAGTTCCGAGCTAGATTCAGTGAAATGGCTACAGGAGACCGATTTCGTCTCTGATCTGGTGCTGGACTCACGTTTGGGGCGCGTTGTGGCGGACAATGAATAGTGCTCTTTGCGAGTTTGGGCTCATTGTATGTCTCTCATCAAGAGCTTTCCAACAAGCCCAAGATCTTCAAAATCAGTGAAGTAGAACCAAAGTTATGTTGGAAATGGAGTGCGCATTTTCGTGACTGTCACAAATTCTGCGGAAGCGGTTTGTTTTTTCACGGCTGAGCGTAGCGAAAGAGTGCAAAAAACGTATTTTTCACTCACAAATATTTTCGTGCATTTGCTCTTGTTCTGCGCAACTCCGTTGAACCTGCCATCGTGGTCTTTGTTTTTCCTCGTGGTAGTTGAAGTTTTCAAGTGCTCCAGTTTTTAGTTTCCACTCGCAGCCACACTCATCTTATTATTTTTTCAGAGTAGATCTACAGTGTAATAGTCCAGAAGAAAGAAACGACAGTGCCGTGCACCGTCTATAATGAATCGATCCAGCCTACAAAAGGTCCACATCGCCTGATTGGGCCTGCAAGCTGATGTACCAGTAACCTGACGTTTTTGGGAGCTGCAGATCGATCTGCGAAAGGCGGAAACAGCTAAAACGAGCTGAGCGCAATCCGCCACACACAAGCAAGTTTGGTACCAGGCGGAGCAGAGTCACCGTTGACAGCTACACAAATCAGGGCGTTTCGGACGACCAGCAAAGATTGTGGAAGTAAAATTTAGTTGACAAAACAATTGGTCACTCAGTTCCGACATGTCGAGTCGACACCTACCTGTACCGCAACCATACTCCTCAAAGGCTTCAGCGAGTCCTTGAGAGTTTTCCGTGGGCGCAGTGATGAGATCTAGAGTCTACGGAGTCGGTGATGAGCGCTGTCGATCACAACATCGTGTCCCAAATGGTGGCGAAGCTCCTGGCAGAGGTGACACCGCAGTCATACTGAAGTAGTTGTCTGATATCGTGGCGAAGGGCAGCAAGGTCGTAGCTGTCTGTTGACAACACCAACCGGAGTTCACTGGGACAGCCAGCCAGTTTTCGGACCGCACATGGACCGGAGAGAAAAGATAAGTATCAGTACTTGAGACTGTGGATGTTTTTCGATAATTTACGAATTACATAATCATGTAGTTGACACAATCGAAAGGGGTGTACATGCCGTCGTATTCAAGGGAGCAAACAAACGCCCAGCCCGTACCGCCCTAGGCCCTACACAGGGTGCATGATCAATGTCACGGGACCATCAGAATGTTATGGATGTGCAGAGCGATGTACATGACTGTATCGTGTTTGTAGAGGCAACCATGAACAACAAGAGTAGTTAGTTTGTCAGTCTGAGTACAAAAATCGGGCAACAATGGCATGGCAGTAAATGTTGTCCAAGTCAAACATCGTGCAAAATGCTAGTAGATTTACGGCCAGGTGTAATCGACGTTCGCAGCCATCGGACACACAAGGGGGGGGGGGGGACAATTGGCCGGCAGGACGAGACAAATGTTTGTTTGTTTGTTTTTTTCACGGGTGGGGCCCACCAGACATGGTGCCAGAAGAAATTCAAGCAAAAGTTGACTGCTTGCTGACTTCAAACTTGTGTTCCTGAGGTGCCCATCCACCTCACTCACGTCAGATTATTAGTAGTATTATTCACACATTTCTACCGAATGAGTACGCGGCTAAGCAGTACAGGGAGCCAGCATATGTTCTCTCAGCATAAAAGCAAGCAAAGAATAAGGAGTACATGGGTAATGGAAACAGTTCCAAAGTACAGCCTGGGATTGTATGAGTGCAAACATGTACGACAATAGTCATGGGCTATTGCAGCAAGCGACAACAACACAACAGAGAATGTGACAGCAACCGCAGGGGGGCGTGCGATGTTGACCAAGGTTGGGAATCAGTACTGTCCAAGTTTTCTTCGTCCAGAGAGTAAGACTAGGGTTCCTGAACACGCTCAAAATAAGTGTACGTTCCAGACGGAGCGATAACTAAAGCGGCAGGTAGCGCGTAGTCCTCACTCGGTCGCTGCAGTCTGCAATGTGCGAGGTGAGGTAACATGATGGCACACTGCACAACTCCACTGTTGTAACGCCAAACCAATTCATAAAAGTTAAGCCACCACTTTGATTGTGTAAGGTGTGCGAGACACCCCAGTCAGCTGCCAGGCCAAGTCAACTGGTTAAAGCTTTACGTATCTTGATCTTGCTCGTGCATGCCGTCCTTATGTTTTCGGTGTTGAATCTTAATGAAGCATTATATGTTTTCCTCTTGCTGTCCTTTCAGTACCAAGCCAGTACCTAGGCCGTGGAACAGACACCGGATCACCCACGACTGGACATGATGCAAGCGATTGGGAACGGCCTTGTGTGGTGTATAAATGGGTAACCCGGCTTGCCATTATTTAGTGTGTATGTGAGTGATGACGGAGTGAGTAAGAAGCCCGATGGGCAGTGATGACACATGATGGCGTAGGGCTTGATGCAATAATCACGGAGAAGCCCAATGGGCAGTGAGGACACAATATTGTGTATGGCTTGATGCCATGATGAGGGAGAAGCCCGATGGGCCGTGATGACACATGATTGTGTGTGGCTAGATGCCATGATGAGGGGGAGGGAGAAGCCCGATGGGCAGTGATGAGTATGGCTTGGTGCCATGATGAGGGAGAAGCCCGATGGGCAGTGATGACACATGGTTGTGTATGGCTTGATGCCATGATGAGGGAGAAGCCCGATGGGCAGTGATGACACATGGTTGTGTATGGCTTAATGCCATGATGAGAGAGAAGCCCGATGGGCCGTGATGACACATGGTTGTGTATGGCTTGATGCCATGATGAGGGAGAAGCCCGATGGGCAGTGATGGCACATGGTTGTGTATGGCTTGATGCCATGATGAGAGAGAAGCCCGATGGTCAGTGATGACACATGATGGTGTATGACTTGATGAACGATCATGTGGTTATGAATGATTACAGACATGTTGAAACCGAGAGAGAGAGAGAGTGTGAGAGTTACATAGAGGTATGTGGGTTTTTTTTATGTCTCGGTACCGGCTTTTCACCCCCTTTTTGTCGGGGCACGCGGAGGAGTGTACGTGCACGGGCAGTACGTGTGTGTACAGTATGTGTGTGTACAGTATGTGTGTGTGTACAGTACGTGTGTGTACAGTACGTGTGTGTGTGGACAGTATGTGTGTGTGTACAGTACGTGTGGGTACAGTGCGTGTGTGTGTGTGTGTACAGTGAATGTGCGTAAGGGTGCATGTGTGTGCAGTAAATGTGTGAGGGGCGGACGTGTGCATTCGATACAGGATTCCTTCTCTTGCAGGAACTGAACGGACGTCCAGCCCAATCACGGCAGTACAGCACCTCACATTGAATTTACTGGCAGTACTACTCCATGATGTAGCACTCGCAACCTAGCACGGGAACTTTCGGGCATTTCGCAGAGATTTTGTCTGCTCGGAGTGCACTGCTGATCATGTTATCCTGGCTGATGTGTGCTCGTCCGGTTGCCACCGGACCCAACCTGGCCTACTAGTGAGCATCCCAGGGCAAGTCTGGCCGGGTCTCCATAATGTTCATAGTAACTATACACTTGGCCACAGATGGTGGTCACAGTGCCCAAGACTTTGGCACACTGGCGCCATGCGCCACACTGCTCGTTTTCCTTGTCCAAATTTATGTGTGCTGCTCTCCTATCGGCCTCACTATCCTTTACATCGTGAGTGTGATTGCTCTGGTAGACCACTACCCCATGTACTGAACAGTCGCTTTGTGAGTGAAAAGGTTTGTTTTTTCACGGCTGAGCGTAGCGAAAGAGTGCAAAAAACGTATTTTTCACTCACAAATATTTTCGTGCATTTGCTCTTGTTCTGCGCAACTCCGTTGAACCTGCCATCGTGGTCTTTGTTTTTCCTCGTGGTAGTTGAAGTTGCCCGCCCACCCACCCTGTTTTCATGGGAGTCGTCCGCTGTTCTTCTTGACAATCTATGCCTATGTGTGTGGCTTATGATTATGACATACACCGGTTATTACATACCATTTCTTGCTATCTCTATTCTTGGGTCTGACTGGCAGCGGGGCAGGAATTAAGGAAAATAGAAAGGTTTTTTGGCCGAAAGGCGTGTTTTTCCTCTAGCCCGGTTGAGCGGTCGCGGCTAGGAATGTAGGGAGTCATTGTTTTTCAGGCGCTCCCCTGCTGCCCAGTCACCCATGCTCACCACTGGCCATGCTGTTTCACTTGATTTCACGGCCTTTTCTCCCGCTTGCTGGCGGTTCTTTGATGGATTTAGATGTTTTTCGGCTATTTATCTATTCTGTGGCTGCGAGTGTGGTTTTTTGCTTCTACTCATTTCTGGAAAACCACCACGGTGGTGAGTGTGATTGCTCTGGTAGACCACTACCCCATGTACTGAACAGTCGCTTTGTGAGTGAAAACAAAATATTACGGACTCCAAAGGGTTAAATGTGAAGGTACGATACAGACTGTTTTTCGGTGTGGCCTTAACCCTTTGTGTACCAGCCCCATCTCGAACCGTACCATATGGTACGGTTCGCTGCACTCCAATCAAGCGCGCCGTTCCCCGCCGCCGTAGCTCCGATCGACCCGCGGTTTTTTGCGCTTGACAGCTGAGATCCCACTGAAAATTTTGATGTATGATATGGGTAGGTTGCCATTTGAAAGTATGGAGAACGAACGCGTTCAAAATATGCTTTTCAGCGCAAACAATTGTCGCTGTTTCGAACGTGTTCTCGCTCAGTTTCTCTGCTTGTAGCGAAGATGTAGCTTGTTCTAGGTCATGTCGACGTCTTCTAGACGTGGTGGACGATTGGAGAGGTCGGCTGTGGCGATATCATCGCGGAATGCGACTCGAAATTGAAAATTTGTATCGCTGATCCCATCGTAGTATTCGCTCTCAAAACAGGAGCGAGAGGGAGGGCAGCGATGGCCTAAAATCGTCAAGGCAGGCGTAATTCACCAGCCAGCGACTGCTTCTTGTCTTCTCTTTCACTTACCTGACGCTGGATGTGAGTGGATGAAGAAAAATATAGATTTCGAATCTGAGACAAGAATTCAAAATTTGCAATTTTGAGCCAATTGTTTTACCTCAAATGTGTGAAAATATGACCATTTCCCTGGTATGTTGTTACTCTTCATGCACTGTGACAACGCTTATGATGTTCTTTTGTCCCTATGTTCCCAGTACACGAGCACAAACTAATTCTCAGTCTATTTGTTTGTGATACCCTGGTTTTGTCTCAGAGGAAACTGGATACCCTGGTTGGTCAGAAATATGCACAATTGGCGCGTATCTTTGGTATTCCACCTATGGCCTTCATATACTACTGCATGCTGTACCAATATCCATGCTTACCTGGGTGCAGTGATACATATAGAGTCAGGAAAACACAACTTGCATATACAAAAGTTGTCTAGATTTGATACCATGGTTGCTTCTTTGGCTGCGATAGCCCTTTACATACATTAGATGGCTGGTACATAAAGGGTTAAAATTAATTAATTGCCAGAAACTCATCATTGCCGGCTCTGGTTCATTTTTTTTAAGCTTTGCCCTGACCTTGGAAAATTATGTTTATTGTTTGCTTTGGAATCGGCAGGTGCTCCTGTTTGGCCTGTTGGTTACTCTGTCACGAATGGACACACTACTTTGGCATTCCGACCACCTGCTCCCAGCAACGATACAAATACAACGTTGACGGTTGCCCTCTTGGAAATCTCCGACAGACACAAGGATGAAGTTGTCCACCAAGTACCATTCTCACAGGTTGTGGAAATCTCTCACCTGCCGGTGGGCTACCGTAAAAGATATCGGATTAGAGTTCGCTACCCGGGTACGCCTTTCACGTCACCTATCACACTGTCTACAGAACAAACAGGTGAGGAACACCACATTTGATCACAACATTCGATATTGTGTCATGTCATCATATCGTGTGTGTGTGTGTGTGTGTGTGTGTGTGTGTTAGGCCTAGCCCAAATTTGCCGGCAATGCTTCCAGCAAAATATCGAAATTTCCCACGAAAAGAAATTGCTGGAAAATTCCGAGCAAAATATCGAATTTTCAGAGGATCCGGGTGTTTTGGCAATTTTATTCAAATTTCTTTGGTTTCATTGGGCCAACGTCCTGCTGAAGTAGCTCATGCAGGTTGTCAGCGGTACATAAATTTTGAAATCATGCCTACTACAAAATCCGTAATACTGACACCATTATAGGTTTTGCTTTCCTCATTAGTCACCATCCACTTTTACCAAAGTAGACGGTTCATTCGAAGCCATTTTTGCCACAAAGCAGGAGCAAAATGGAGCAAAATATCGGAAACGAAAGGCAATGCCAAGCAAAATATGGAAAGTGCTCGGGCAAAATTTGCCGGCAAAATATCGAAGCGCCCCGAGCAAATTTGGGCTAGGCCTAGTGTGTGTGCATATCACGTGATCATGTCATGTGATCCTGTCATGTGTCCATATCCTGTGACCACCATGTCATGTGATACTGTCATGTGACCATCATGTCATGTGGTGTGTGTCAGCAGAGCAATAGCAGGTACATGTGTACTCATGACTTTGAAGGACAGAGGACTGTTGGCTAACGGGCGCCAATACCTCTGCACCAGCACCCCAAACCAGCAAGAGCAATTGTTGCTCTTTGTCCTTTCTGCTGAATGCTGAGGTGTTGCGTCTACGTTGTGCAGCTTGTGGTATCGTATTTGGTACGAAACCACTTTGAGTTTTCCATACACTATTTTTTAGTTTGAGCAATGTCGCTGTACCTGTGTTGGCACATTCCCTCTCATCATGTACCGTACTCACTTGAATAATAGCCCCCATTCAACAACCGTTTTTTTTTTTTTAATCATACAAGCCCCTCTCGCATGGAAGCGAGGACTCCTGTTCACAAAGCATTGGTTGACCAGGCAGTGTCATGTTCGGTAAGGTCAAGTCCGCACTTCAAGTGTGTATCACATGCATTTACATGCATGTACACCGATACATGATATCCAAATCCTGGTCGACACAGTGCGTGTAAACACTAACCTGAGGCCCAAATGCTTTGAATATTAAAATTTTAGGGATTTTATTGGAATACCGGAATGCATTGAAACAGTAGAAGCCTCCTCAAAATTGGCATTGGAAAACCGAGCAAATACTGTAAATATACAAATTTCCGGCAGCTATTTAATTTCGGCTATATTCGGCACCGACCCAAAACGCCTAAATTAAAACGCCGATGAAATTTTTCACAGCATCTGTCGCACTATACCATGCCCTCTACCCCATGCCGAAAATAAATCGCCGTCGAAATGTCAAAAATCGTGAAGTGCCGAAATTTTGCGGCGCCGAAATTTTGTATATTTACAGTACGGTATTAACCTTGTCCTTCCCCATTCTCAACACCATTCTGGAGAAAACCAATATACAAAAATGTAATGGAAACGTAGACGATAGCTTGCGTAGACCTCGGTACCTATCGGTAGGACTTAAGGGTTTAACGTCGGGCCCTAGACGATGGCTACAATGGCCAACCGGACAACAAAGTAGTTGAGGTCAAAGACAAATAATTCCTAAAGCACGCAGCAGGTTGCTATATCAGTCCCCCGCCAGTGGACGAGAGGCACGATACGAGCACGATAAACCCAGAGAATAAAGAGAAAAACGAAAGTAGAAAACCAGAGTGACTAAGTACGACTGGGCAGTGAGCAACGGCACAATGGGAGTCAGGAAAGCAAGTCGGCAGGCTTAAGACGGTCTACAGAGACAACCTGCTCCGTGCCTTTCACAAGCACTTTGAAATATTTAGCACTGCGGCGAACAACAGGGTAGGGACCAGCATAGGGTGGCTGAAGTGGCTTGCGAACTGCATCGCAGCGGATAAACACTTTAGCAGCAGATTGCAGATCAGCGGGCAGATGGATAGGTGTAGAGTCGGACACCTGGCGAACAGGCAGTGGCTGCAAGCGGTGCAGGGCATTGGCGAGACGAACGACACAATCGGCGCCACCAGAGCGGGTGGGAGCAGACGTGCCAGGGAAGAACTTACCTGGGAGCCGGAGACTAGTCTCATATACAAGCCCAGCTGCGGAACAATCGGTGTCAGTCTTCGTAGATGAACGGATACTGAGGAGGATCAACGGTAGGGATGTCAGCCAGTGGGTCCAGTGGGTCGGACTATTGAGAGCTTTCAATGACGACTTCAAGTGGCGGTGAAAGCGTTCCACCATACCATTAGATTGGGGATGGTAGGAGGTGGTGCGGGAGCGGTGACATCCAAGCAACTTCATCAGTTCTGACCAGAGATGGACTCGAACTGAGCGCCACGGTCCGACACAAGGGAGGACGGAACGCCAAATGGGGAAACCCAACCATGGACGAAGGCAGAGGCTACTGTAGCGGCAATTGAATCAGCAATAGGGAAGGCTTCTGGCCAGGGTGAAGCGGTCAATGCAGGTTAGCAGGTATGTATAACCCTGGCAGGTAGGCAGAAGGTCAACAAGGTCAACATGTACTTGTGCAAACCGGTCGTCGGGTGGCAGAAACTGGCCAATTGGGCTCTTCACATGGCGGAACACTTTGGCACGCTGACACTGCTCACACGTGCGGGTCCAGGTGGTGATATCATGGTGCATGTGCGGCAAAACAAAACGAGCGGCAATGAGGCGGTTGCTGGTGCGGATCCCAGGGTGACTAAGGCCATGAAGCGAGTCAAAGACAGCACGGCGGAACTGCAGTGGCGCAAACGAACGGCCGGGCAATATTGCAGCATGTGCTCACCCTTAACGAAACCAATGTCCGTGGTGAATTCTGCTATGAATGACAACTGACGGAGGACACGGGGCGAGTGTGATGCTGTGGTGGTCTGCTTCAGTGCAAACGTCAACGGCTTATGGTCGGTCCAGACGCGGAACGCGCGACCTTCGATGTAGTAGCGGAAGTATTTGACAGCCAGAAGGTGCTATAGCGGCGCTCAGTGTCAGACAACTTCTTGCTGAAGAAGGCCAGCGGTTGCCAGGGGCTGTGCACGTATTGTTGCAGTACAGCGCCCACACACAGGTCAGATGCATCAGCCATTATGCAAATCGGGGCTTGCGCACAGGGATGGCAGAGCAGTGTAGCTGAGGCCAAAGCAGCTTTAGCGGCGAGAAATGCATCAGCAGCAGCTGGTGGCCGGACAAAATCAGGTGGCTTACGTGGCGGATGGGCAGGCTGTTTGCTGACCTTGGTGCAGAGCAGATCCGTTAGGGGCTGACCTATCTCCGCACAATGCGGGATGAATCAGCGATAGTAATTCAGCATACCCAAGAACTTATGGAGCTGTGTCAGAGAGGTAGGCTCACAGAACTGCTGGATGGCGTCGACCCGACTGGCAGGAGGGCAGATTCCGTTGGCAGACACAGTGTGGCTCAGGAACTCCACTGTGGGCACGGCAAATACTGACTTGGAGACATTAATGACGAGCCCATGCTTATCGAGGCATTGCAGAACCTGCTCCACGTGGCTAAGGTGGGTGGACACGTCTGGACTGCCGACAAGCAAGTCATCAATGTAGTCGAAACTGCACTTGATCCATAAATCGCTGGAAGGATAGCAGCGTTGCAAAGGCGAAATGGCATGCGCACAAACTCAAATAGGCCAAATGGCGTCATGACAGCAGTCTTCGCAATATCGTTGGGATCGACCACTGAGTCCGGTGCCGGGTGTGTGCCTGCGTGCGTGTACTAACACTGGTACGAGGGGTGGAGGTGGCCAATTTCCAGCTTGAGGCCAGGACGAAGACGGACGATAAAGACAACTGGACAGTGTGCCGTGGCAGGATAGCGGGGTATCCAGGTGGGCCCGGAGGGTGGCAGGGGCCACAGCAGCTCCGAGGCGGATCCGGTGTCGAGATGGTGAGGCTCAAGTTTTACGTCAACAGCCGGCGATTGACGGGCTCCCGAGAGCGGGGTGAGCAGGAAACTGCGACCAGAGCTCAGAGATGGCATGATGAAAACTCTGAAGAGCGCATGTCTGGGGTCACCAATTTAGGGTTTTACGTCGGGCCCTAGACGACGGCTACAATGGCCAACCGGACAACAAAGTAGTTGAGGCCAAAGACAAATGATTCCTAAAGCACGCAGCGGTTTGCTACAGGACTATCAGACACAGACATGCTGCACGGCCTCTGTTCTAACATTGACCTAAAACTTGACCCTAAACTGCTACTAAGGGCCGGGTTCCACTGCGGCTCCACTGCTCCGCGGCACTTGGCTGCATACAGCGGAGCAGCGCGGTTCCACTGACACTCGCCATTCGCGGTACCGCGGTCGTGCTCCACACTTTTTGATGACGTTTCACCTGCCTGGACGCGCGCGCGTGCGCGCGCGCGCGCGCGAAATCAAAAAAATCCTCGTGTTCTGGCCTGCGCAACGAATTAAAATTTGAATTTTAAAATTCTGGCGTACAAAACAATGCAAAGTACGGGAAACAGGTCGAGCAGCGACCGCGGCTCGCAGTTTTTGGTGAAGAATCGTAGCAAAAGCTCGCGGTGAGCCGCGGACTCGCTGCTCCAGCTCGAGCCGCGGTCACTATGGTCATGATGACGTTTCAAGCCGCGAACGACGAGCAGCGGAGCCGCAGTGGAACCCGGCCCTTAGGGGCTAATGAAGGAGACCACAATTTTTAAACGTGATCGTACAAGACATATTACAAAATGCGCTTACAAAATACATGTACCATGGCAACAGCCCATGGCAACAGCCCATGGCAACCATGGAAACGGAGTGCGGAATTATGCACTCCACTGCCATGGCAGGCTAAGAAAGACAATAGGCCCTCACCACCATAGATGTGCCATGGTCAAAGTGCACTTTGGACATAGTTGCTAGTGTTTCGACAGGAGCATGTGCGGCCATTTTTGACAATTGATAAAATTGCACATATTCAATGCACTGGACATAGTCTTGCATTTTGCGCCATTACTTTGCCTTACAAAGACCTCATCTCAACATTTTTTTCGAGAAAATTCTCAACCAAAAGCACTTTTGCAGTGCGATTCCTTGGGTCCTACCGATAGGGCGGCATGCAAGCTATCATTAACATTCGTCAGTATCAAGTCCTGCTCCTGTTGTGAGGTTCGGCTGTGCTCTGCTGTGCGTGATTGATTTTCTCGCTAGACTTTTGCTGGTGTGTAATCGTGTGGAGAATCACGCTCTTGCTTTATGTCCGTATGCCTGTGTATGCGTCTGTGCGTATGTGTATGTGTCTGTGCGTATGTGCATGTGTGTGTGTGTGTGTGTGTGTGTGTGTGTGTTTGTGTTTCATGTCCACATTATAGCTTTTACTACGCGGCTAGAGGCGCAAGTTTACAGTGTCAGTCTGGGCCCACGCTCGGTTACACTTACCCTCCCCTGGCGCCTCAGCACCGATATTCTTAATCGCACGGCTTACGATACATGGCTTGTTCAGTACGGCACATCTCCATATGGACTCGTGACGAGCGGCATGAGCAACGTGGAGATTGGCATAAGTGCACGTGCTATTACGCTATCTGGCTTGATGCCCGGAACCCGGTACGTGGCAAACGTGCGGGCGAAACACAGCAGCTCCGGACAACTTTCTCCGCCGGCTGTGGTGGTGTTTACAACGGCCGCCGCTGCTGGTTCATCCACGCCACCGTACTGGACGCGATACCCTGTGTCTTCGGAGCACATTACGTCCACGTCTGTGTCTCTATATCAACCAGTGCTCACGAGTACGAGTGACACACAGGCTGAATATGTCGTTGGAGTGAGCAGAGCTGCTAACTCAAACACTAGCCAAAAACTGCCCATGGAGACCATACATAATGTGTTGCGGGATTCTAGAGGCCTGATCACCTTGTCGGATCTATCCCCTCGGGCCAAGTACACAGTGCGAGTACGGCGTCCGGGTTTGCCACAGTCGCACTGGTCTGCACCGATCGTAGTGCAGACACTTGCCACAGGTATGTCTGTCTGTCTGTCTGTCTGTATGTCTGTCCCTATCTCTGTGTTCGTGTTCGTGCTCGTGTGTGTCTTTGTGCGTGTGTGTGTGGGGGGGGGGGGGTGTGAAAGGGCATGTGTGTGTTTGTGTTTGTGTGTACAGTCAACTTCGCGTATAACGACACTCGGCGGGGCATCAGAAAAGTGTCCTTATTCGCGAAGTGTCGTTATACCCGAAGTCCCATTGTATGTATTACAGTTGGATGTGACTTTGCTCTGGGCATAGAAATTCTGTCGTTATTCCCGAATTGTCGTTGTATCCGCAGTCGTTATTAGCGAAGTTGACTGTATGTGTAATGGCTGAGACAACTGTTTGTTCTGGTGTCCGGTATGTAATTCTGCTCGACTTCAACTTTGACGTCTTGATGTTTACTTCTGACTGCAGAAAGTCCCGTGTGGCCGGAGGATGCACTTCTTGAGCACCACGCTCTGCCCATGTCCGGCATACTACGGCTACCTCGTTCAGTTTGGCATGCCAACACCAGCCAGGGCGCTCAAGTACGCTTGCGTCGGTTGTCCGATGCCTATGGGCAATGGCCGAGGGGCCATCAGGCTTTTCTGAATGTGTTTCCTTTGGAGCAATTCACGAGCAATCGCCAGTACTTGGTCTTGACGGACTTGGAGCCGGCTTCTGCCTACGCCGTTGCAGTGGGCATACCGGACGCAGCAGGGTCTGATATGCTCTGGTCAGCAGAGCTGGTGCTTGCAACGTTATCCACAGGTATAGCACAGTCAGTGCATTGCAATTAGCCCATTGCAGTGGCATGGCACTCCAGTGTTGGGAGTAATTTGTGCTGAGCTAAAGACACTACACTACATCTACTTCAATTGTATTGTTATGTTGTGTGGGACAGGAAAGTGATGTGAATTTGTTAGGTGCGATTCTTCTGGGGCATCTCGCCCACTGTGGATACTGCCACCGCTATTAGGTGTTCTAATCTTTTGTAAATTTTCCACCTCCTCTCATACTTTTAGCTCTTTTCATTGCAAGCTGAATGAGTATAATGGCCGGATCTGATGCCTTGTCCTCTTTTTCTCCATGCTCCCCTCTGTGCTGTGTGCAGCCAGTCCAGTGTGGCCGGAGCCACCGGAGGACTACCACCTGAGCACGCCAACGCTGGTGTCGCTGCGTCTGCCCGAGTCCCACAGGGCAACATCGTCATCGGCTCCTCGCCGACTCTACGAAGTGCGATACCGTCCGGTACGGGGTGATGGCGAACGCCACCACGCTTGGCTGCGTTGGCCCGAGCGGTTTGCCGAGGGCCGCGCGAGTGCACAGATCGCGCTGCTGCAGTCGGGCACACGCTACGAGTTTGTCCTCTGCCTGGGAGAGAACACAGTATGGGCACCAGCCTGCGGTGTGCCGTATACATCAACTACTGGTGAACCAGGTGAGTGTGCTGCTGTGCTCTGATGACAAACACCAAGTTGTTTATTGCCATCTGCGCTGACATCAGGTGCACGGTCCTGCTACTGTTGTGGACATTGAAATCCGGTGGCGGCTGGCGCCCTTACTACAGTCCACGCACACAATGCAAACTGGACCAGCAGTGCTCACGACTACAACAGTACAAGGCCAGCGCCCCGTGTCCGCTTGACTTCTCAACGGATTTCAATGTCCACAGCAGTATATGTACTTCTAGTGCTCTGCTGATGTTACTTTACACAGTCCAAACACTCACACATGGTCTCTTTGTTGCGAAAGTCACCTCAGTTAGATTCGCCAAATTTTCGGGCATAGTCCGTCCTCAGTGTGAAACAGTAGACTCAACATGTATGTTACTGTCTGTATCGGCTGGAGAATAACCGGGTGTAATAATACTTGGACGGAATTTCGCAACAGTTACGTGGTGTATCAGAATCAAAACATGCTTTACACTAGACTTGTGTAAAGCATGTTTTGGCTGTAGTGCTATTAGGCGGTAAGCACTGGTAAGCACTTCCTCTCTTCCCTTTCCGTGTTCATGGGGTCCGGTGTTGCATGAATGTGTGCGTGCGTGCATGAGCACCTGAAAGGCACGCCGTGGCTACAGCACAATCATGCACACATCAACATACATGGCCATGTGGGTGTGGTTGCGAGCCTCGTGTATGCATGACCTGGACGAAGGGTTGGGAGGTCCGACTGCCATGCATAAACGACATACATGTAGCAGCATTAGCCTTTAGCACAGTTGCGCTCCCGGCAATAGGGCTGGAATGCTAGTGTTCGGGCAATGTAAACAGAGGCTAGGACTTGGGTGTGGTTTCCTGTGGAAGCATTGGTGGTTCAGTGGTAGAATCCTCGCCTGCCACGCGGGGGGCCCGGGTTCGATTCCCGGCCAATGCATTTTTTTTCTGTTCTGGGTGGTGACAAGCAAGAGGGCGAAAGTTGCATTTTAGGCTGCGTTTACACGACAACACATGGCCAGTTTTCCGTTTTCAGTCCCGCATTTCTTTTTTCGTTTTCGTGCGTTTACACGATCAAAGCTGACCCAAGGTGGTCTCCGTTTGTATCGTTTTCGCGCGTCTACACGGAAGCAAAGGATCCGCCAAAGTTCGTCATGTGCCAAGTGTTGTCGTGGAAGCACCAATCACGCTCAAGGAATAGTTGAAAGCAGGCCACACGACAACACTCCTCACATGAATTTTTTGATTGTCGTATCCGTGTGAACGGGCGAAAACAAAACAAACGTGACGGGAAACGAGACCAGCACACCGTTTCGACTGTTCACACACCCAAATTTATCCGGCCTCTCCGTTTTCAAATTCTTCCACCTTGGCCAGCGTTTTGGTTTTCTTCCGTTTTGGTGTGCAACTTTTACGTTTTGCTCCGCGTACCGTGTAAATAAACCATGCATCCGAAAGGATTTTGTTGCGTTTTCACCCCCAGCGTTGTCGTGTTTAACGTGGCCTTAGTCGCAGCTGGCGACATGTTGGGCACCGAAGAACGAACAGGATGGAATTTTACCAAGCCCAGCATACATGTACCAACATATTTGGTGACTCCACTGCGTATAGACTGTTGTACGTGAACATATGAACGGGCTGGGTTACTAGGCTGGGTTACTAGGCTGGCCCACAGTTCTTTGGCACCCAACAGTACTATGGCTATGTGCCATGTACACCAAGTTGCAACGAAGTTGTTTGTATTCATTGCAATTGGCAAGCAGACCTAAAAAATTCTTCTAACATGGAAATGTCCAAGATCGCCCCAAGAGGGGCGCGAAATTAGGGGGCATTCGTTTTTGGTCTACAGGTTTGGGTAGAAACTACTTCTTTTGGTAGATGCGTTCCTTTTTTGTACTCAAAAGAGTAGATTCTACCTTTCTCTACCAGCTCTACCAGGTTTGAAGCTGGTAGAGGTCGGTAAAGTTGGTAGAGGTACGGGATTTACAGCAAGATCAAGGAGTTGTACACAACTCCATACAGAAGAGAAACATTTCATGTACATATCGTGAAAAACTACTAAATCCGGTAGGGCAGTGTTCGTGCACTTACCCATCTACTTTCTACCTCTATCGGTAGAGTGACTCTACTCTACTCTACCAGGTAGCTAAATGACGAACACAGCCTTAGTAGTGCAGTGGCAATGGCCACGGCCATGACAGGCAGAACAGTTCACATCTTCTCTCCCAGTAACAATATAGCTGACATTTTGGACCTCTGCATTGCTGCTGCCTGGACGGCAAAATACGCTATCAGGAAATGTGAGAAAAAGAAATAGTTGCCAAAATTTGTGTTCTGCACATTTTCGTAGTTCGCACGCCGATTACGTGCACATGGTGAACCCGTTGACCACTTCCGAGCCCACGAACCTTACTGTACTTCTCACGAAAATCCATGTTGCATTTCATGAAAGTTCCCGTCCAAAGTTGCGAAAGTTTGTGCAAAGTTTCTCACTTTGTGACGTAGAGCAAAAGTTTGTGCGCATTTTAGTTTTGCAGAACCTCTCTATTGCAATTCGGTTGAGTGTCTTTGCCCGGGACTTAGTATAACTCCATGTGAAAGCATTGGTGGTTCAGTGGTAGAATCCTCGCCTGCCACGCGGGGGGCCCGGGTTCGATTCCCGGCCAATGCATTTTTTTTCTTGTTCTGGCGAGAACAAGCAAAAGTGAACAAAACTTGTTGCAAGTCTTCATCCATGCTGCATGAAAATCTAGCCATGTAGAAGCCCGTTTCCGACGTACTAGTATAGGGTATTGTGCGGTTCCGAGGTGATGATTGACTTTTGATATCCCCAAGCTGTAGGCTCAACGTACATTGCTGTATCACTGGGTATCACTGGGGTAGTAAGCAGCGGAGAATGAGTGTGTGCTCTTCGGTTTCACCTGCTGTTCAATACAATGTCAACAGCAATGTGCCAGCCGCGGCGTAGCATCCTGCTGAAACGGGCACGCCACTGTACCCGGATAGTACAGTAAAAGTGGCAAACATAATCCGGTGTGAGGTGGTGTATGATGCAGCTACAGGTGAGAAAAACGAGAAAAAAAACCTCTGCCGTGGACACATTGTGTCATACAGACAGAGTTCCTTAGTGGTCGTTCATGAATTTCGAAAGATAGAAAATCCGGATAGTGGACAAATTTAGGGCGCGTTCGAATTGTCACTCTTTGACTTTTCGAGGAGTTTCGTTTTTCTGAAGAGGTGTCCTTATTGGCCTCTTCAGAAAAACGAAACTCCTCGAAACTCCACAACCTCATCCGATGGGAGAGGTGGATTAGTTCCGAAGGGTTTGGAATTGCTACGTCATGTAGTACGTGGAGATGGTCAATCTGATCGGACGTCATCATCGCCATGACAATTCCACTGAAAAACTCTAAAATGATAGAAACCGTTCTAATGGGACACTTCAACTAATCTCTTTTAAAAATTTGTTCGAACAGTTGATGAAGACAATTCGAACCCCAGGCTTACGTGTATGTCAGGCCATAGTACAAACAAAGACACATCAAAGTAAAGGAATTCTTGGCAACGAGAGGTCTTATGTTGAACTCCTCGAAAACCCAGCTTGTTGTGTTCAGGCCAAAGTCGAAACCTCTTGACCCCGATGTCAACGTACAGATTGAAGATGTCACCATCACCCCTAGTGCACACGTGAAATACCTCGGTATAGTTCTTGACGAATATCTCTCCTTTGGAGTTCACATTGCACAATTAGAACGTAAAATAGGCTGTAAGTTAGGGATGTTTAGAAAGGTCCGAGACCATTTAACGATCGATGCTAAGAGGGCTTTCTACATCTGTTCCATTCAGTCCATACTTGAGTATGGGTCTAATTCCTTTGCTCACTGCCTGTCTGCCTCCCTCCATGACCGTGTTGTCCGACTTAGTAATAGAGCGCTGCGTATTGTATTTTGCATGCCCCGCCTATCTGATGTCTCCCTTGTTCTTGCCCGCTACCATATCATTCCCTTGTCTGTCAGGATTCAAGCTGTACGTTCTAACGTACCGTGCTCTTCATGATCTGGCTAGTGTCTTTGTTGCTAACTGTTTCTGTCTCCGCTCTAATTCTACCTGCACTAGTTCTCGCACCCGCTCTCAAGTGTCCTCTTCCCTTGCTCTTCCGACAGCCAAACGTCGCTATGGTTTATTTTCTGTCACTTTCCTGACCGCTGGAATGCCCTCCCAGCGGAGGTCCGCTCAAGTTCTTCCCTGCATACTTTCCGTAATTCTGTTCTTCATTTTTTAGGGTACCCTGTCAAAAGGCCTTAGGCCTGTGGGGATTGCCCTATCAAAAATTTAATAATAATAATTAACATCCGTGAGACGACACGTACACAGGGGCAGTATAACCCTTAGAACTTTGCCTGTGACTTTATGTAGTTTCTTGTGGAAGCATTGGTGGTTCAGTGGTAGAATCCTCGCCTGCCACGCGGGGGGCCCGGGTTCGATTCCCGGCCAATGCATGTTTTTTTCTTCTTCTGGCCTGTGGGCTAGTGTGGGGCAACTCAGTGATGACCATCGCAAGAAAAATTAAAATCCAATCGTTCTGCGAAACAAGAATTCGAACGAAGTTTCGCGACAGTCCTTGCGAAAGAAAGTGTGTACGAATTTTCGCACGAGAACATCTTCCCGGTACGTTGTCACGATTCTTCACACCCGATGCGCTCTTCATTGTAACTATCCTCCATGCAGTTCTCTGTGACCATCTCGCATCATTCCTCCACACTCCTTGCTGGTGAGCAGTTGTCACCTTTGCAGCTACTTAGAACATGAGGTGACAAATCCACACTGCTCTGCACTGCTCTCCGCCTAGCACCGTAATTGCGCCAGCCCACGTTTAGTTGGGACAAAAAGACTAGTTACGCTGGTGGCTGCTATCAGTTGTCTAATTATTGCATTTGGCAAGGAACTCTGAAAAGCCGTGCCCAAGAGAGCTTGCTTCTCTTGCATTTCTTTCTACCTTAAAGTCCTGCACAGTTTTCTTTTCAGCTTAGGCACTGTAATCACTGAAGACTATAAGCTCTGTTGCTGGAATTGTTGCATGGGGATTGCATGGCGCACTGTCAACACTTCAGTAAAGGGACTGCATGCGCTGGCAGTTACCATGGTTACAGCCGCTCTGTTGTAGTAGACCAGCGCCGGCAGTGTCAAGACTCTCAACTACAGTGTGGAACTTCAATACAACGTACTGTGTGCTTGCAAGGGCTGTTCAAATCTGTGCCGTGTAGTCGAGATTCATGTGCTCTGTATCCAAAGTCAACTGACCCGTGTAGTACAGTGTAGTGTCCTCCAAAATAGTACTTTTACAAAATGTATAGCCCACACTGGGCCACAGTCTGTTGTATCCATGGTAGTTTATAACTTTACACTGAACAGTTTTGCTGTGCTTGTAGATGCATAGTGCTAGTAAGTAGCGATAGTGTTCTCCACGGTTTCTCTATATTGTTACTGTTTGATCCAGTTGAAATAGTGAGCACTCAGTCGCCCCGTGCATTGCTGCTGTCTACTCGCAACCACAGTCACAGAGAAATGCCTGCTGCTCTTCTGACTTCCTATTTTGTTGTTTGTCTGACTTGCTCTTTGCCCTTCAGGTGCTCCGTTGTGGTCGCCGCGGCCGTACAATCCCGTTCTCAGCACGCCGTCTTCGCTAGTCCTGCGCACTCCACACCTGGCGGATGACGGCGCTGGTGCTGGCAGTGACGCCGATCAGTTTGAGGTGTTCGCCCGCTATGCCAGCGACGTGGTCGGCGAGTTTGTCGTGTCTTGGTCTAGCTGGCAGCCAATCGCTGCCATCCAGGCTGGCAGGTATTACCAAGCGGAGACCACAATCAACAACCTATCACCAGGCACGAGTGGTATCACTCAACTGCGCTGTCGTCTAGTGAGACTGTCACGGGCAAGGGACAGCAGCACTGTCGTCACCAATACCACTGATGCAGAGAAGTGGTCTCTGCCCCTGCATGTCAACCTGCCTGTTCTAGGTGGGTCCTTGCTGCAAAAGATGACCCCACGCCCTCACTATATACAGTATCTTTTGCAGTACCGCTTCAACTGGTCGTTCGTGTTGCCTCGTTTGTTTCTCTCTGTGCTTTCTCTTTGTTTGCAGGCTCGCCACGACTTGTCACTCGATGTTGCGTTGTTCTGTGTTTTCTGTGTTGTCTGCTGTCTGCAGGCTCGCCACAGTGGCCTCCCGGTGCCTTTCCTATTGATGGCGTACGCGACGACTCCATTCTGGTCATTTTCCCACTCGCACTACCGAGGGGCGCCACTAACTACAAGATCTTTTTCCGTCAGCAAACTCCGCTCTTAGTCTGGTTGCCTTGGACATTTATTCTCATGGATGATAAGGACCTCACAACAATATGGCTGCGTAACTTGTCCCCAAACACCTGGTATGAAGTGAAGTTACAGGCTGTCAACAACACGCACGCGTCTGCATACAGTCCAGCCGTCAGTGTGCGCACTCTAGCAACAGGTATTCTACTCCTTTGTGTGTGTGTGTGTGTGTGTGTGTGTCTGTCTGTCTGTCTGTCTGTGTCTGTGTGCATGCGTGTGTTTGTGTGCTTTTGTGAGTCTGTCTGTGTATGTGCTTGTCCACATGTTAGCACGTGCACAACACCGGTGCGAATGCATACATGTGTGGAAATGTGTATATAACTGTACATGTACATAGCAGACTCAGCGGAGGACGTTCAGGTTGGTTGTAACTCTGAGTTTCATGCCGCTAGGCAATCATCAGACAACTGATACTCGGGTCTACCCAACAGTATGCTTATAAACACATAGAGCCACAAGCATAAACAAATTTAGCGCTAAATCTGGTGTGAGGTATGGGGAGAAAGCTGGCGCGGGCCAAGGCGCGACAGGGGAAGTGCCAGGATGGTGGCGGGCAACAGGCAGGTGTGACCATGAAAGCGCGGAAAGAGGCGATGGGGAGGCAGTGTACAGCAGATGGGTGGAGGTGCCAGGAGGGTGGCGGGCAATGGGCCAGTGAGATCGCTACAAGTAGGGAGTCGTTTGGTGACGGGCAGGCGTGAGCAGAGTGGCATCGCCGACTACAGGCCAAGGGATTTTGTTATAAATAATAATGGGTGCTCAGGCAAAGTGCAGTACAGTACTTGGTCAGTTCATTTGATAGGTGTGAAATTTGCGAGGCGGAACTTATTCTCATGCCTGCATTTCGAGACCATCTCAGACCGCTTGTTGAGTAGGAGCTTCTTGGGTGTAGTCAGGATGTGGAATTTTTCCGCAGTACAAAGATTGCATTTTTTTGACTCACATCTGTATGATCGGCTCTTCTCCCGCACCTTCCATGTAATGGTCAACGGCTTTCCCTCGCTCTTCAGCTCCCATACGTGTTTTGCGAGCTCAGTGCTGTTTTTGTATTCTTCATGACGCATGGAGGTCAGGTGGTTGGCGTGACGGGCTTTGAAAGGTGTCTCTGATAGGCCGATGTAAATCTTACTGGTAGATTCTGCAGTGGCCTCATACACAATCTCCTTCGTCTGGCACTCTCCGCGCAGCGGGCAGGATTCCTTGATTCTACAGTTGCATGCCTTGGTTTGTTCTGGCTCTCGGAGGTTGCTCTTGTTGTGGCTGCTGATGACCGCTCCCATGTTGGGCATGCAACTGTAGCTCACTTTCAGAGTGTTACGGTTGAAAATCTTCCCGAGCTTGGATGTTTTCGGGAAGTGCCTGGAGACAAGGCTCAGGAACCTACCAGCGACGTTTGTGCTAACGTTTTTGGAGTAGGGAGGGTTGAACCATATGACCTTCCGGCTGCGGTTCTTCCTGCCCCTGTGCTCATGTGCCTCGGGCTGAAACCTCAGCACTTCGGTGTATCCACTGGCCTTTAATGCGGTCTGGTACACGGGGCTGCATGGTTGAATGCCTCCGCGTCGCTCGATATAGCGGAAAGGCGCTTGTTGACAGCAGCAGGGATGTTGTTGGTGATCCCAGGCGGGTGGTTGGACTGCTTGCTGACGTAGAGCGGGTTGTCATTTGGTTTTCGAAAGGGTTGAAATTTCCCGGTGTCCAGGTTCATGCGGCATGAAACCAACCTGAACGTCCTCCGCTGAGTCTGCTATGTACTAAGCTCTGTCTCTGACATTGAGCACTCTCTGCAGCTCGGGGATCAACGGATTCGTAACTGTACATGTACATGTATATTGATAAATGCACATGTATATGCCTATGGTCTGAGGATACACAGAGACTAAGTAAGGGCCGGGTTCCACTGCGGCTCCGCTGCTCGTCTTTCGCCGCTTGAAACATCATCATTACCATAGTGACCGCGGCTCGAGCTGGAGCAGCGAGGCCGCGAGCTTTCGCTACGATTCTTGACCAAAAACTGCGAGCCGCGGTCGTGCCTCGACCTGTTTCCCGTACTTTGCATTGTTTTGTACGCCAGAATTTTAAAATTCAAAATTTAATTCGTTGCGCAGGCCAGAACACGAGGATTTTTTGATTTCGTGAGCGCGCGCAGGCAGGTAAAACGTCATCAAAAAGTGTGGACCACGACCGCGGTACCGCGAATGGCGAGTGTCAGTGGAACCGCGCTGCTCCGCTGCATGCAGCCAAGTGCCGCGGAGCCGCAGTGGAACCCGGCCCTAAGGCTCCCATATCCACTCTCGATGCTCTACATTCTCACACAATAATATTGTACCAAAGTTAGGGGTGAAACAATTATACCGAGTACTCGAGTACTCGCTCGGTTTTTTCAAAAATAATCGTACTCGGAATAAATCAGAGTACTCGTTCATACATGGTACATGCATTTACTACAGAAATCTGCAGTTTCAGGGCAGCAGTCGGCAGATGGTGATGTGCAGGCTGTGTGGTGAACATTTGTTCACAAGTAGAGAGAGCCCAAATAGCCCACCAACCAATACACCCGAGAAAAATGACTGCTACTCGGTTCAATCAGGGTTGTATCATGTTATTTTAATGCCCGGCTTGGTGTGCAATTTTTAGGAGATGAAAAATACTCGAATACTCGAATATTCGATCGGAGAAAATCAGAGTACTCGAACTCGGGATCTCAGTGCCAACTTTCACCCCTAACCAAAGTAGTGTTGACTTGTGTGGCATGTATGCTTATGTGCCCGAAATCCAGGTGTTCCATCACAGCCACCCAACCCTGTACTGCTACCGGTGAACCTAACGCAACTGCTCACGGTCGAGTTACCATGGAATTACTTTGCCCGGCGCAACCAGGAGGTCAGTTGCTTCAACGTCATGTATCGCTCCGTCCTGGGCCCGGGTATCTATGCGCCGTACTGGATAGCCCGCGGCTGTGCTGGCGCGCCGCGTCTGGATCTCGAGCGCGCTGAGCCGCTCTCCCGCTATCAGGTGCTTCTTGTGGCGACAAACGACGCCGGAGAGTCGTCGCCGGGCATGCCAAGCTTTGCAGCCACACCAGATGCATGTAAGCCCGGTTTTAGCTATCAAGTATGGTTTGTGTTGTAGGCCCTGTCTGTGTTTGCAATAAAGCTACTGGAAGCATCCAAACTAGATCTTGATCAAGTTACTATGTGGACCACTGAAAACCTATGATTTAAAGGTTTCGTTCAATGTTCTATGTTCAAGTGTATTCAAGGTGTGATATTCACGTGCAGATGTGTACCTAACGACACATACCGGTGCACCCGTAACCCCTATACTCCGTATCCCATCAGGGCGTACGATTTGGGTTGTATTGAGCTAACATTATCACCATGTATGTATACTTCTATCCGCGTGTAGATCCGCCGTTTCGGCCCAACGTTTCGTTCGCCGCCGGTCACGTGAGCACGTCCGTGGGCATTCACCTGCCAGCACGCCCGGACGCTCCCGGCCTCCATCCCGTACACGCCATGGGCATTATGTACGAAGAGGCCGGAACAGGCCGGATTCACCGAGGGCCAGTAGTTCAACTCGTTGGTCAGCCGGCCACCGTCAGAATTGTCGGACTGCAACCCGACACTTCGTACCTGTTCTTCACGCAGGCCATCGGAGCGGGTGGACTTTCTCCCCTGTCACCAAAGGCGGAAATCAGAACATTGGCAATCGGTAAGAAAATTCAAATATTATGATTTGGTGCCTTCGGCCTGTCTTACTAAAAGTACTTTCAAGAGACAAACAGCATCATGTGATGCAAGAGCTTGGAGACCATCGGTTCCGACCTCTCCAAGGTTGCTGAACGTGTTTCAGTCTTGGAGTCTTCGGCACGGAGTGCCTATGTACCACCGGTGCGGAGCACCCCTTGTTTGTCCACGGCATGGAGTGCCAGTAGTTCTTTTGCTGCCCTCCCTGAGGAGCCCACGGAGCGGGATGAGTTGGATTACGATGAGATGGAGGATGATGATGTGGATGGCGAGTCTGGCAAGAGAGGTTACAAAGTAACCGCGAAAAATGCTGATTTCTTGAAGGAGGCTTTTTCCAGCTGCGCTTCGAACATAGAGGGAACAAGGGTTTTTATCAAGTAGAAACTGAAGTTCACGCCAATAATAAAACAAAAATCACAAAATCATGAATTTCACTACAAAAAAGCTGTCAAGAGTTAGGGCGCGTTTGGTTGGTACGACCTAGAACAGGATTCACCAGAACAGCGCGTTTGGTTGGGACTGCACCTGTTCTGGGTCGGCCGGAACATGTTCTGCTTGCTCCGGCCTCGAGCCGGAACAGACCGAGCAGTTTCACCTTTTTCACAGTGAAACCTGGCGGGAACATCGATTTTGGTCCCAAATGATCACGTGCACACGCTTTTGGGTTGGACTTGTCGTACCGTACACAGTGACCATGGTGACCCATACACATTTTGAAGAACGCACCAAGTTTGGCATATTTTTCACAAAAATGTGCTCTGTTTCTGGAGTACCGTTTGGTTGGCATGAGACTGCTCCATGTGCACCAGCTGTTTGATCCTGTTCTAGATCGTGCCAACCAAACGCACCCCTAGTAAACTAGGCCAAACACATTGATATGGAGGAGACAGAGCATTCTGAAATATAATTGCACACTCTCGCCGGTTATCTTCCCTGTTTTTGGCACAGCAGTGCACATGCAGAAAAATAGAGGAAAATAGAGGGAAAAAAGGCAAAATGCATTGGCCGGGAATCGAACCCGGGCCCCCCGCGTGGCAGGCGAGGATTCTACCACTGAACCACCAATGCTTGGATGAAAGACTTCGCCGGACAATGAAGCAGAGGAACCCTTGTTAGGGGTCGTCCACAAATATCAATATTTTTTAGAAAAGATGTTTGTTCGTTTGTGTGTGTGTGTGGGGGGGGGGGGGGGGGAGGGGGGTTGGTCTCTGTTCGTCTCGACTTTGTTCCAAAAAATATCGGTCTCCAGATGTGGACGGGCACTGTAGAAACTAATACTTGTAGTTGATGCAGAGCTCACTGACTTGTCAGTTTGAGCACTCTGGAAAGGTACGTTCGGGCCTGGTTTAAATTTGGCTTTGGAAAAATAGTTTTCATTGCTATCAGGTTCGGCCTCCTATCCTCTGTGCTGCGCCGATGAGTCCACAAAGGACAAAACAGTTCTGTCCGCAGATTGTGTAGTTGATGACCTACAAAAAGTGAAAGTCAGCCTTGTGAATATTGCCACAGCAAGGTTTTGCGACCATGGCAATGGTAGGGTGAATTTAGAGTTGCTGTTCACGTTTCATGGAGATTTCACTACATTAAAAAATATCGATCCCCTTCCTCAAAACTGTGTCAGATTTTGTAGATTAACAGAAATTCAGCTGTTACACGCAAGTGGTGGCCGCACCATGTGAACAACAGTTATGTGAATCTTCGGGTTGTTCCTGTAATGTTTCTGAGAACAAAAATGTTCTCCAATTGACCCCCTGGACGAATACCGTAAAAGCCCGTGTATAGGCCCCGGGCGTATAGAATAGCAGCCTCGATTTCCTGGGCGTATACAAGGGCACGGGCGTTATTTTGGAACCGGGCGTTTACTTGGAATACGAATGTTGAAATTCTCCCATGGCTCAATACGACTCGGAACTGTATCCATTTCATTTTTTAGCTGAGCATGCCCACTATAAAAAAAGTATCCCCGCTTCAATGAACCAGGAACAGTGTTCTGGTTGGGAAAAGCAATCCTGAAACACATCCATCAACATAGCAGTAAGTACTGGGTATTGGTATTGCCAGCATACCTGGACGTATACATGGCATTGGCGTTATTTTGAAACAAAACTGTCGACTTCCCCTAACTGGACGTGTACATGGAGGGTGGGCGTTATTTCGAGTGGGCGTATACATGTACAGGGGCTTTTACGGTAGTCTTTTGCTTTTTGGCCAAGACTACAGCACTGTTTTCGGTCTGTAACAAGGGTTCCTCTGCTTCATTGTCTGGCATAGTCTTTCATCCAAGCATTGGTGGTTCAGTGGTAGAATCCTCGCCTGCCACGCGGGGGGCCCGGGTTCGATTCCCGGCCAATGCATGTTGCCTTTTTTCCTCTATTTTTGCTGCATGTGCACTGCTGTGCCCACAACAGGGAAGATTACCGGTGAGAGTGTGCACTGTGCAACCCTCTTGCATCACATGATGCTGTTCGTCCCTTGAAAGTACTTTTAGTACTACAGTGAAACCTGTCCGAAAAAATCAACCACCAAGAGTACATAACCCCCCCCCCCCCGAGTGTGCAACTCCCACATACCCTACTGTCCCTACAGAATTTCAAGTTGGCGTCATTTTTATGATTCAATGCTCCTTGCACAAGTGATTTACGACATTTGTACAGGGTGTCAACACAACACACGTTTTTTTTCTTTGCACTAATTTGTAGCGGATAAAACGGGGCTTTGTCCACCACAGGTTCAGGATACGTCTGATAATACATGTACAGTGCGCATTGCATCATAAAAATGACGTCAACTTGAAATTCTGTAGGGACATGTCGTCAATGTGCAGCGTGACAGTCTGCAAGTGATGGTGTAGCTGCTGACACTGCTGCTCAGACCGAGATAGTTCTTGCTGTGCCTTCATGTTGTGTATCCACGTACACCCTACATGCAGTCTCACACGCAGCTCACCAGAGTCAACCAGCCGGCATGGATACATGTAGAGTAAGACCATGATTCAGAGCATGCGCAATGAGTATATACAAATGCATACAGAGTACATAATATATTACATCAGAGTGCATATATAACAATATCCCCCTCGCAAAAAAGAGGTAACACCGAAAACAAAACATTTTCATGACAAGGAACAATAGCATAGAACAGACAATGTAATAATGTACCATCGTCTGACGTGCCAATTATCAAAGTTCAATGTTCTATGTGTGGTATGTACTATACAGAGCATTATACTGATATATACAAATGCAACAAGAGAACCACGTACATGCATTCACGATCATCTCAATCAATCCATGCAAATAATATAATAATTACATATCCTACATGTATAAAATGTCTCATCCGTTATACCGAGCTGGTCTTACGACTGACCGACCAGATCGAGTCACCTGCCGGTCAACAGGTACAGCATCAGCTGGGGCTGTAGAAGCTAACGACTGTTGACCCTGCTCATCCTGCGACTGTTGCATGGGCTGCTCTTTCTGCTGTGAAGTCGTCGGCTGTTGAGCCTTCTGAGGCGGCAACTGCTGTGGCACCTGCTGCTGCTGCGGCTGAGGCTGTTGCTGTTGTGGTGACAGTTGTTGTTGCTGCTGCTGCTGCGGCTGGAGTTGTTGCTGCTGCGGCTGGAGTTGTTGCTGCTGTGGTGCAGAACGTGTCTGTTCTGCTAACTGAGAAAGTGGTATTGAACGTGGCCGGAGTTGGTTACGGTGTCGTTTCCAGACCACATCATTTACCTGGACAGAGTAATTCATAGCACTGCAGATAGAGAGAACAACACCAGGGACCCAGGTTGTACCATGGTTTTGAAAACGTAACGCAAACACAGCATCACCCGGTTTGTATTCTGGTAGCAAATGCTGGTTTTGATTGAAAGATTGTGCCTCCGCATTCCGTGTTGTTTTCAAAGCATCATAACGTAGTCGTGGTTGGCGATTAAATAGCATTTCTGCCGGTAATTTACCATTCGCCGTAGGAGTTGACCGAAATGTCATTAGAAATCGTTGTAGTCGTGTATCTAGGTCGTCACCTTCTGTTCCCATTGCTTTCATTTTAGCTTTAAAATGACCGACATCTCGCTCAGCGAGACCGTTTGTCTCCGGATGGCCTGGAGCTGAACGAGTGTGTGCGATTCCATTTTTCTGGAGAAACGAGGTAAATTCAGCACTAGTGAACTGGGTCCCATTATCACTAACGATGTGAGTGGGTAGACCGAATGTGGCAAACAAACGTCTCAAAGCTTTGATAGTACCCGTTGATGTGGCATGTGTCATCGGGACAATTTCCAGATATTTCGTATACGCATCGACAATCACCAGAAACATTTTGCCCATGAATGGACCCGCAAAGTCTATGTGCAGACGACGCCATGGACCCGACGGCCATGACCAGGTAGCATAGGATTTACTAGGTTTGCGTGCCTGTTCTTGACACGTAGCGCACATTTTGGTGGTATCTTCAATTTCGTCATCCATCTTTGGCCACCAGAAATATCGACGTGCCATACGTTTCATTCGTACAGCGCCTGTGTGTTCCGAGTGCAATTCACTCAAGAGCATCGCGCGCAAAGCCATGGGGATTACCACTCGTTCATTCCAGAGTAATACATCATTTACAATAGATAGTTCCCAGCGCTTTACAAAGTACGGCTGTAACTCCACCTCTTTCACATGCTCTGGCCAACCATTCAAAGTGTAGTGACGAACACGCTCTAGAACTGGATCATCTCCAGTGGCATTCAATACAACTTGAGCATCAATGAGCTCGTCCTCAATGAAAAGTACACGTGTTTCACCTAGTTCCGGGGTAGAAGGATTTCCAGAAATTGGTTTTCTAGACATGAAATCTGCCAGAACATTTGCCTTTCCCGCAATGTGTTGGATGGTGTAGTCATACGCTGAAAGTAATAACTTCCATTTCTTTAATCTGGAAGAAACCAGGAACGGAACACCTTCCTGCATGCCGAACAAT